TTCACTTGCGTTCAATCAGTGATTGTCACTATTTCCTCGATTTAACCCCTATTTAACATTTTTCTTAAAAAAATGTATTTGAAGGCTTTACTGGAGTAACATGATAAACCAACCACTCGATATTGAGTGCCAAGATATTTGACTAATTGTATGACCATATATCTTAGAGATTTGGTGGAAATCGAACTTACGACACCCAAACTAATGTACTAGTGTGGTCGCAACCACAACCGATGTAACCAATAAAAAAATTATTTTTGCTAAAAAATTAAAGTGATTATGTAAAATGTAATGATGGGGATGATAAATTTTACGTAAATTTACACTTTTCAGTAGCACCTATCGATAAACCAAATTTGATGTCAATACACGTTAAACGAACAACATCTTTGACTTAGGTTAGCACGATGCCACGCATCTGTTTGGAAATTTTTCTACAAATTTCTAGATTTTATTACAAATTAATATAATTAGAATTAAAAAGAAAATTGAGTACGAAAATATGACTATATTGGAACATGGCAATGGTGCTTTTGATTTCTTCACCTGTATTATTTTATGAATATTTTCTTTTTCCCCAAAAAAGGGCGTTGCTAGGAGATAAAATCTTTCAGGAATCCTCCCTTACTCACTAAAAATGTATGGCATGTGTAACTAAGGTTATTTGAACATTTATATACACATACATACATATGTACATATATAATAGTATGTACTATAGTACATTTATTTATACATACATACATATATACATAAATAAAGTAGAAAGTAGAGTGCTCCAAAAGAAGTTATTAATTTTGCCCGTCCTCCCTCTAGAATGGTTCTTTCGGTTGTAAAACTATGTCATATAAAAAATTAGGCTGATTGGATAACGTTAATAGGTGCTTTAAAGGATTATTGTTACTTTTTTCGCTGTTGTTTAAAAGATAGGACTTTTTACTAAGAATCCCAGTAAATTTCATTAATTTGAATATGTTACAGTTATACAACCGAATGAACAATTCAAAAGGGGAGACGGGCAAAATTCGCATTTTCTTTTATATAGAGCACTCTAATATATGTACAATATAAAAAACATTTATGAATATTAGACTTGACCTTAAAACAGTTTCTTTGTATGGGTTTTATTTTGTTCGTTAGTATCTAAAACTAACAAATCGGAGACTATCGAATAACGGGAAATAAGAAATAAAAGAAAATTTGTCTCTGTTAAAATGGTCATTTATTATGAAAAGTTTAAATAGTACTTTTTTTATGGAGCAATGATTTGCTTAATTTTACAACTTTTAATCGATTTCCAGTAAGGCTCGCGTTTTACGTTTGACTAACATTTCTAATGAGCACTTCTAATATACATAGTCCTTATGTATATAGGCACATATGTACATACATCAATATTTTATTATATTATTTGAGACGATGTAAAACGAATAATTTTATTTGTTTTATTAAAGATTTCAACTCTGACAAAATTATTAAATATAAACAAATAATAATTATGACAGTAGTTGCTGATGCAGAATTGTTTGTATATTTTTAAGGAAGCCAAACTAGTCTCTGGCGATTGAGTTATTTTGACATCTTCTGTCAAGACGTAGAAATCTTTATGTGAACACCTGCTTTATTTCAGGATAATACTCTTTCAACAACAGGGTGAGCTAGAGACAACCTTGTTATTACTAAGAAATACGTAGGTGGCAAATGTTTCTAATCTCTGTCCTAATCCCTGCTTCCGAGAAACTTCAAAAACATCTCGTGCTCGGTTGAATCGGCTGTACGAATCAAGTTCTTACTCTCATAGAACACTCTGTATTAAGTCTGGTATGAACTAAGTAAACCCTTAACATACCCTGACAAAGAAGGGAAATTTATGGATCATCAATCACCAATCAACCCAGCGCACTTCGCCTACATCCGACACATTCATAGGAAAAAAATCCAATGCACTGAATATAAGGCTGAGGGGGTCCGTTTATCCGTTTGATCCATTCCGTATTTAATTCAATTGGCATCAACTCTTTCCAAATATTTAGCGCCATAGGCACAATGTTGTCCTATTCGCCAACAGTATTGAACTTATCCCGAAATATTGACTTCACCGTGCATCTGTCTTCAAATCAACATTATCTTCCTCTAATTTGGGTTCAACTACAACCACTACGTGCACCCCGAAGGGTGGTGGATGTGACAACCGGTTCGACCACGAGTTAAATGATTCCAAGGAATGGCCGAGAAGTCAAATGACACCGCCAGTTTATAGTCCCGGCAGACTACTAGTACTTCTATTACCCCGGGATTGCTACATCGCTAAATATCAACAACAAAAGAACTGCTTTTCGTTGATCTATAATGAAAAGGGGTTTTATCATTAAGAAGAGGTATTATAAATCAATGATAACATATGTATTTCTTATAGATGTTATCGACTTACTCCCCATACCATTTTATGTTATTTTTGCAATTCTGCTTGTGTCGTTTTTGTATCGTTGTACATTTTTTCCCAATTCAAATTTTGATCAACTTTATACGAATTAGTTTGTTAATTAACAAAAATGCTAATTAAAACTAGAATCGAGTCTTTATTGAAGGTTGTTATAAATCGTTAAAAAATATTAATTACAAATTTCAATTGCATTTTAAAATCTCAAAGTGATTTCATTCCGAAAGAAATATTCGTTTTCTTTTTCTGAAGAAGCAAAATTTGGAAATAATTCCACATTTAATCGGAATGAAAAGTTCAAAATTTGTATAAAAAAAATTAAAAAATAAAATTGTAAAAATACGAAAAACTATATTGGTCTTTAACAAAAAATAATAATCAGGAGCTGCAGTTCAAATGATTTAAAATGTAAATTGCGTAAATAATAAAACAGTGAAAAATATTTGAAAAACACATCTCAGTGCATGGGGACAAAATTATTTTTAATAGGAAGAAAGTTCTAAACATTTTGAAATAAATATAAAAAATTAGTATTATTATTTTGACTATTTTACTATGATAATCGAAAGTATAATACCAAATTGTGTTTTGTACATATACATACATATACATATGTACCTCCATATGAAAAATATTTTGTAGACGTCAATTTGCGCATGTACCATTCGACGTGGTTAAGATATCAATTACACGAGAGGGGCTGGTGTGATTACGATATATTATTTTTTTATAAATAATACTTATGCATACATACATATTTGTGTATACAGATACATAAATATATTTACAAATAAACATAAACATTGATCGATAATTTTATTTTTAAAAAATTTTTAAGTATAAAAAGTTAAATGTTTCGTTCCTAAAACAGACAGACGGAGCATTTTAAGTTCCCGAAATACAATCTTACGTTTTGGGCTCTATGTATGAAGAAGGGAAATGTCATATGTGTAAAACAAAGAAAACTATTTTTGAAAACAATTATCACTAGATCCAAATTAATTTCTGAACATTTAAACAAATTTGTAATTTTTTAAAATCAATTAAGTAAAAAAATTAGTAGAATATTTCAAACCTCAGAAAATCTCATCTACAGCTGAAATCCGAATTGAATCCAATGTAATTTTGATGCAAAACTGTAATAAAAATACAAGAATTTTTAATTACTCATCGATACTACATTTTTACAGTTCTTGTTCTAGACCTAAGATAAGTAGATCGGAATAGTGTTTAAATGATCTAAAAAACATTAAATTCAATTGTCATGCTTGTAACAACTTTTTGATATTAAAAAAAATATTAAAATTTTAGAAATAGAATTGATTACTCTGAAATATGTAAGTAATTAGTTCATGCTAATGTTATATTCAAAAACAGTATATTTTGAGTTATGGCAAGTGCCAATAGCAAGCACATTTGCACAGTTTTAAATGCGGATTTAGTAACTAAATACTACAGAACACTTAAACGTATACATAATGCCGATTTTCCCCCACAACAGGGATGAATCACTGAAACACTTGTCAACGAAATAGAGTGAAAAAGAAAATTATAATGGTTGCTTATAAGGCAACAACTGCAAATCCTTGCCACCCGCAGTTTTATCCATCTCACTTTTCGTGGGGGAGGTGCTTGTGTGCTCAGCTTCCTTGGTGATTGGTTGCTTAACTCCCGACTATTGTTAAAATGGTGCGTTCAACGGAGTTTGAATTGAAATAAAAGTTGTCTGGTTGTGTTGCGATGGCCATAAACAGCAGTGAGTGGTGGAGGGTTTTGGTGGGTGGTGATACAAATATTCACCCATGCATACATACACATACTTATGCACATGTATCGATGTGTAAGAAAACGGAAATGTTCCATGTATGAATATACATACATATATAAAATGTAAGTACAAGCAACTGTTGGAAAAACAAAATAAAAATAATTATTATAAATAAAAATTCGAATTATTCATTGTGAAACAAGTAATGAATGGATCAATTATTATTTGTTGTTTTATAAATAGGGACGTAACCTTGGTGGGGTGATGTAGTTGAAAGCTTTTCGGATAACGTGTAAATATTGACGGAGGATAATGGTGGTTGTGGCAACGGTTCTTGTATGTATGCGTGTAAGTATGTTGCTATACTCACACACTTACATGCTGTGTAAAAATAAAGTATTCACACGTATGTAAGTATCATAACAACCATCCCCTTTTTGATTCATAAACATCATTATCATCGTCGTCGTCGTCGTCGTCATCACCAATATCATCCTTGTCAAAGTTTTATTTCATTGTCTATTAGTTGAGGCATTTTACCGGGATAAAGTTAAATTTTATTTTCAGTTGTAATTCGACCATTCGCTGCAGACGTGCGTCAAATATTTTACGCGCTGCAGTTGCTTAGCTACAAATATTTAGCAAGTGCTTTTGGTATCTATCCTTGCCTCTTCTTCTACGGATTTACTTTATTGCCAATACATACACACAAGTCCAGGCACCCACGTAACCAATACTATTCATCCATTCGCAATACATATACATATGTATGTACATATTTAATATCCTTCCGGTCTCGTTCACTTTCACTTTTATTATACTGTGTTGCTTAGAGCAGCTTCACTTTTGCTCCCGTACGCTACAAAAAACAGCAACACTTTACACCGAGTTGCTATAAGAGACAGTCAATCAGTGAGATTGTTGAAAGACAGACAACGCAATTGTGTGTCCTTGATAGACGGACACATAGAAACATTCTCTATTTGAATCCGTTGCTCGGTTAGTCATCGTTCGGACGGGGTTTCGGTCGGTCTCTTTTTTCGGTTACTTGTCGTCTACTTACACAGTTGTGAATTTGTATGTGATTTGTGTTTTGTTTTGATTACCTTAACGTTTTCCTATGGTAAACGTGGTAATGTGTGGAATAGCATTTTTCGGAAGTAAATGACGTACATTCTTCTCCTTCAGCTAAATGTTATAAAATTTAAAAGTTTTTATTAAAATCAAACGAATGCATTCACGACTGACTTTGGATCAACAGCAGCATTTACATCACCACTTGCAGCATTTAAATCCGTCAACAAATTTTAATCATATTTTGGAAAAGTGTTGTTGTAGTGCTCGTGCTATAAGTGGTCATCAAAACCAAAGGCCTCAGCAGCATCAACAGTTACTTCAACAAACGTATCAGGCATTGACACCGCATCCACATCACCATCATCATCATCACCACCACCATCATTACCAGCATCACCACCAACATCGGCAGGTACACCTGCATCAGCAGCAATTGGTGAATCAACAGCAGCAACAACAGTTGTCTTCGCCAGTGCTGTCCGTTTTACAATCCACTCAGCAACAACAACAACAACAGCACCAACAAACACAATCCCCTAACAAACAAAATTCTTTAGCCCATCGTTTGTACCACCAGTATCATCAGCAGACAGTCGTTGCTAGCGTATCTTCAAGTTGTTCTGCTGTAGCTGCAGCATCTCCATCATCTCACTTGACACTTTCACCTCCACCTATCCCTTCAATCCCACCCGCTCCAGCTGCTTCATTTTCATCATCTGCAATTTTATCACCAATTCCACCAACTCTATCGGCGACGGCATCAACAATGTATCGACGTCACAACAATTTATCATATTGTGGTGGTATGTAATATTCAATTTTTCCTTTCCACAATTTACAATGTAAATAGTTTTTACTCATACTTTGGATACAGTTCAAATCATTTCTTCTCTGCATGCAGTATTCGAATATTATTGATCTAGTTTGGCGTTTCAGTATTATTTCCAATTTTGTCTCGATAATTATTAAATCGATTGTTCTATATAAAATAATATTTATGTATGTAATATAATTTACATAAATTCGAGATAATAAAAAATAATAATTTAATAGACTGTTAATAACTATAAAAAAATTAAGAAAAAGTGATTTATGTAAATGAATTAAGTATTTGGAAATTAAATGTGTTGTTCGTTTACTAAAAAACTAACAAATCTTCCATCTTTATTCCTTTGTTATAAATACATACGTACATACATACATACAAATCGGAACGGGAACCCATGCCAGAAATCGATAGAAAAGTTTAAAATTTAGTAAGAATTGTTCACTGTTCATCTACGCAAACGGCCCCATCTAACATTTTTAAAATTTTACTGGAGAAGCAAAAAACTATTGAAATTGGAAAGTTTGTTTCTATCATCGCGATTTATTTGTAGTAAATAAAGAAATTGTTTAATAGTGAAACCTATCAGGTATTATGATAGTGGACAATGGCGTATATAAAAATGGATAAATTGGACTTTTTACCTTTAATATTTAAATGTTTTTGTAGATAGGACCTTTTGTTTTTTGTCAATGAATTCGCTAATTTTGGTCGCCAATTTTTTGTGTGGACATATGTTTTGATGCAATACATTATAATCAACAATAAAATCGATTTTGAATTTTTGGTTAGTTAGCGCCGTTTGCGTTTCAGGTGACGATATGTATATTAATGTTATTGGAAAGACAATTTTCTCTAGAAGATAATATATTATGAGTGGCATTATTTCAATCAAATTTAATAATTTTCAATCGATTTCCGCCATGGGTTCTCGTTATCCGATTTAACTAAAATTTTACACAAGTAAGTTTTAGACAATAATAAAGAAATCAAATCGAAGTTTTTTTAACTCCTCTAACGTATGTATGTATAGATATATATTTAGTAATGTGTATAACAAAATGGTATACATTCTACTCCATATATACTGGGTTTAAATAAAATTGATTAATCTTTATATAGCCCAGGAAAATAATGATTTTGCTGCGGAATTTTAGATAGCTAAATGAAAATTGTCACATAGCTTCCCCTTACCATTAAAATTATGGAATTAAAAGTCATCGCTAATATCGTTTGCTCTGTGAAATTGTGCGGAAATTCCCGGGAATTATTTTCCTTAGTTTTATGTGATATTTTTGACAAACAATTTTGTTTACAATAAATATATTGCTTTGTAGTGTTAAATTCAGAGAAGATATATTAAAAAATTCTATTTTTTATGCAATTTATTGACGAAAAACTGATTTCAGAAATTTGCCGTTTTTGCGAGATACTAGTATTATTATGAGCTAAAAAGGTAGTTTGGTTATTTTGGTGTAGGTGAAATAATGGATTCATATTAACCACTGGGTAAAGGAGGAGTATTTGCAAAATTTCATCAAATTGTCTTCAAATTGTAGTTTGATTGCGAGGTTTATGTAGACGAACAGGCAGACAAATTTCAGCAAAAATTAACTATATAATCTTTACTATAGTGTAGGGAATAAAAATCATTCCGATAAAAATGTTTTAGACTTGTACATAACATACATACATTAGAAATTGTGTCCTTTAACCTTTTTTATTGCCTTTTTATTTGTATCTAGCTATAAATATCTCAAAAATAATACGAAAAATTGTATTTAAATGGCTGATATATTCTTAAAATTTCTTCTAGGTGGGAATTCCTGGGAACCCGGAAAATTTCAAAATGAATCCCGTTTTCCCGGGAAATGATAAACACTAGTCACAGGTCAAAATTATGAATATAACTTGAAAAAACGTTAGGAAAATATTTCCACTAAATTTTATTGAAATCAGACTACGACTTCAACTAGCTCTAATATGAACAACCGCCTTTAATTTGTGCCCAATATAAATATATGCAATAGTTACTCTTTTGAAAATTAAACAAGTAAGAGTGTTATATTCGGCTATGCCGAATCTTATATACCCACCATCAAACCTCGTTTGACTCGAATGAAACTTACTTATGACGAATTTCATCTATATACTCGTATTTTTAGGCCAGTTGTAAGCGTTAAAGTAATTTTCTGAAGAGGATCTTATATAGGGGGGTAGGGTCAATTATGGTCGATCCTCATAAATTTGGTAGACAGAATTTGGTTCGTATTAATTTTATTCGAATTTCAACGCTACACTCGTATTTTTAAACCATTAATGAGCGTTGCAGTCATTTTCTGAAGGGGACCTTATATGGGGGGTAGGGTCAATCATGGACCGATCCTCATAAATTTTTTTAGATAGATTTTGACTCGTATGAAACTTACTTGTGTCGAATTTCATTTATATACTAGTATTTTTAAGCCAGTAATGAGCGTTAAAGTCATTTTCTGAAGGGGACTTTATATGGGGGGTAGGGTCAATTATGGACCGATCCTCATAAAATTTTGCATAGTGATTTTGGATCATAAGAAATTTACTTACGTCGAATTTCATCGCCATATTCGTATTTTTAAACAAGTTATGGCTGTTAAAGCTGCTTTTCGAGGCGCCACTTGTATGGGGGCTATCCGAAAACGTGGATCGATATTGCCCATTTTCAATACCAAACAAACCTTACCTATAGGAAATATTTATGTGAAATTTCAACCCTCTAGCTCTTTCCACTCGGACTCAATCGTGCTTTCAACAGACAGACAGACAGACGGACGGACGGACGGACAGACATGGCTAGATCGTCTTAGAATTTAATGAGAACCCAGAATATATATACTTTTGTGGGTCTATGACCAATATTTCGATGTGTTACAAACGGAATGACGAAATCAATATACCCCCCATCTTTTTTGATGGTGGGTATAAAAAATTGGTACAAAATATTTAAAGATAAAGTCTGATTTTAATAAAATAATGCACTAATGATATTGAAAAATATTTTTCAACCAAAACCTAATAAATTGAATTCTCTATAGAAATTATAATAACATCAAAACGCGTACGACGAAGCAAGATATTCGCTAAAAACTGATTTTTGTAACCTTTGCGCTTAACGCGCACGATATTTTCGGTAACTTTTAATAAGTACCTACCTTATCAATAGGGTTTCGTTCCCGGGAAGCGTCGGGAAAAAATTTCCGGGAAATGTAGTGATTTTTAGCTTCCCGATTCCCGGGAATTTTAGTCGGGAATCCCGGGAATTAAAAATTAGTAAAAACGCAACCGAATTACCGTTATTTTATATTATTTTTAAATAATTTTTCCTATGTTACACCTTTAAAATACCCTCTTATCTCACTACCATTACCGCTAAAACAACGTTACCGAAATAATCCAAATACTGTTACCCTTATCTTTTCACTGCTTCAAAACTATTGCCAACCCTGATATTATATATATATATTTCTAAGTTACATGATATGTTAAAAAAAATTCAATAAAACATCGCGTAAACGCTTTTTTAATTAATTTTTTTATTTTATCGGGAATTCCCGGGTTCCCGGGAATGTGAATATTTTTTTCCCGATTCCGGGAATCCCTACTTATCAATTATGCTAAGGAGAAGCTATGTTCCAATTTTCATTTAGCTATCTAAAATTCCTCAGAAACTAAATTATCAGATTAAAAAAAATACTTTAAAGTTATTTAAGAATTTGAATGTTATCAAAAATTCGAGTTGAAATACATTAGAAAATGTTATAATTAAATCAAAATTGTTAGCTTAAAATTCAACTTTTAATTTTAATTCAAGAACTTTTTGCTTGAAACTTTATATTTAAAAATTTTAATAAGTATAGTATTTATACCCTACACCACTTTAGTGGGGAAATGAACCCGCCGAATAGGTCTTTCAAGTTCTTAATTATGTTTAATATACTCGTATCTCGACAAAAATCTGAAATTTTATAATTATAGGGCCTCATTTGAACCTAGCCCCTATACAAAGCCCTCTTCAAAATTTGACTTAAATGTCCACAACTTTATTCAACAATAAATGGCATAGTTCGCAAGCTTCAATTGATATATTTTGGAAAATATCATAAAACAAACAAGGATTTTTTTAAGCTGAGTACAATATTGAATAGAACATGTAAAATCTTGAAAACTGTCCAGCTCACGAACGGACAACACAAAACCCAAAACATTTTGGGTAACCTCTTATGGCGAACACCATTTCTTGTGAGTCTGTCACATATAGATACTTAAAAAGTAACTGTTTTTCCTCTTTAAAAATAAATATGTATGTATATGTAAAACAATGCCCACTTTAAATTTAAACCCATTGAACTGATATCTTTTCAATGAAAATATAGTTGGGAAACTATTTTAAAACAGTGAAAAGGTCAGTGAGCTCAGAAGCCCTTTTCGGGGGGTTTGGTTGTATGAGGGCTAGGTGAAATAATGGACCGAAAAAGAGTGTGTGCCAAATTTCATCCAATTATCTTGAAAATTGCGACCTGTACCTTGCACACAAGGTTTACATGGACAGCCAGCCAGCCAGACGGACGGACTTAATCGAGAAAACGATTCTAAGCCGATTGGTATAATTTAAGGTGGGTATAGGACGAATATTTTTGTATGTTATAAACATCAGCACAAACCTAATATACCCTATAAAAACAAAACCTGTGACTATTATGTTGTTTTCTATTTTTCTCATAAAATTTCTCTCATTTTTCCAAAGAGACTTAATAATTTTGATAATTGAAACATCCATATGATAAAAAATATAATTTTTTATTTTTATTTTATTTTAATATATATGTACATTATTAATATGTGATACACTATTCTCATTTTTTCAGTTTCAAACCAAGATGGAGGTCAAAATTATCAAGTTCAATACGTGGACACTGAGTTGTATCATAGTAATTCAAGTCAGTCTCAGATGTAAGTTAAAAATAAGTTAATACTTTGCAAATATACTGGAAAATATTGTTTTTGTGTTATATCTTCTTCATAATGAATCAATATTGTTTATAAGTAAAACTTTGATAAAATAGTTTTTAGGAATTATAGTCTAACATAAAAACCATTTAAAAAAAATTAATTAAAACTTTATTCTTAAATGCATTAAGAAAAGTTGGAAATATAAACTTATGTTTTTTAATTGATTTAAATAAAATGCAATACATATTAAATATATCATCGAATCAAATCCAATAAAGTGCAGAATCGAATAAAAAATTGTAAAATCATTTCAAAATACGCATGTACCGATATGAACTCATTTTGTAAATAAAAATTATATCACAAATTTTATAAAAGAAGATTTTGGAAAAATATAAAATTTTAATGTATATTCTTACAATAGTTTAGAAGATTATTTTTACCGTAGACCCCGTCCATATTGTGACCAAAATACTGTGTTTTTTTCCAAACTTGGAAAACTAATATCAAAAATATGATTATAAGTGCTTGAAGATAAGAAACTTTTTTTGGAGAAACACAGAAATACCTGGGTATTTATTTTGTCGCATAGTGTAATATATCGTGAGCCAATATTCATAAAGTACCAATACAACTTTTGATCGAATTGTGTTTGCCTTTCTTAAAAATTCTTCAAATTTCGTAATTTGTTTGTATTAAAAAGTAGGGACTAGAAATTTAATTCATAATAATAAACGAGAATTCGCTATAATCGAGTACGATTTAAGCAAGTTTGTAATATTATTTGAAATTACAATAATCGTATAATATCAACAATATATTCAACATTATTGTACTTTTTAGGGCCTATCCTTTTTGTCCTATTGGAGATTATCAAGCTGGTGGGCAATCTTATTATTCCACAGCATCAGCCACTAATTACTCGTCAACTATACCATTGAATACATCTTCACATGCATCCTCATTACCATATATTGTACCTGTGGAAGAAAGTCTACTGTTAAATACATCCTCACAGTCTCATAGCAGAGATTCTCCACATAGTTTAACGGTTAGTACACAAATTTATTTTTAACTGTAATTTTTTTGTAATTTTCTTAAATTTATTTCTATAGGAAGTTGCATTTATACAAGAATCGCATAGTACATCTCAAACCCCATCATCTTCAAATACAAACCCCGTAAATATCGGAAGTGTTAATATACAGGGAGGAAGTAACTCCGCTGGAGGTAATGTCTCCCCTGATCACGACCATAACACTTTAGGAAATACAAACAAAATAGCGTCAGCGACTGTAAGTAAATATCCACAATAAATTTCAGAATTAGTTATAGTTTTTAATAAACATATGTATAATCCCAACATGCAAGGGGATCCGAAAATTATACAAATTCGTATGAGAAGCAAAATGTTGTTGTGGCAACAATCATATTCCTATTGCGAAATTACCCACTTCCGGAGAGATTGTGCGTCTAGAGCAAAACTTCTAAGCAAAAAGAAAGCTATTCTTCTAGAATATAAAAAAGCAAAATTTCTTCATAATCAGTTGTGTGTATGTACACATAAACACACATCCCAGCAGTTCGACAAAGAGTTAATGCATCCGAAAAAGACAGTGATTTCCTCTAACGTCTGACCACTTGGCTCTAATTCGTCTTTCTTCACGGATGTACACTTTGTAAACTTTGTAAAAAGGAAATTTGCTTTCGCATTTAGAAACTCAAGTCCTGTACTGTTTTTTAAGTTTTCTTCTACTTCTCATGTCAAAACGGCAAATAGAATTTCATAAAATAAAAGGATATGACCTGAATAAATAATACATTGTATGTACATATATTTTCTAGATTAAGTGGCTGTCACGAAATTACGAAACAGCAGAAGGTGTAAGTTTGCCACGATCAACTTTGTATAACCACTACATACAACATTGCAATGAGAGTAAAATTGAACCTGTAAATGCAGCCAGTTTTGGAAAACTCATACGATCAGTGTTTTCGGGCCTTAGAACTCGACGACTAGGTACTCGTGGTAACTCAAAATATCATTATTACGGAATACGCATCAAACCAGAGTCAGTGCTCAATCAAATTCTTGACGAGAAGCCAGCATTTCAACCGCAATTATCAAATACTGTTCATATGTCTCATAACCAGAATCAAAATCCAATGACACCCTGCAGTTCAAGTCCAATTGCAGGGACATCTAGTGCACTACATTCTAGTGGGTCAAACCCTAATACAAGTAACATCTTGCATAGTAGTCGGTATACCAAAAAACAGCAATCATTTAAATCGGAAACACACGAAGCTTGTGGTCAAGTAAGTCAAAATTAGATACAAAATGATTATTACTTCCACGTTCATATATATTTGCTTGTCTCCTTTTAGTTCCTTGGCGATGGTGCTGGAGCGATACCTACATTTCCTTCGATTGAACTCGACAACACTTTTGATAGTGAGTTAACTCAAGCAGATGTCGAAACATTTCGCTCAATGTACCGAGAGCATTGCGAGAGTTTTTTGGACGCTGTTTTAAACTTAGAATTTAATACTATTGAATTTATTTGGCGAGATTTTTGGCGTGAAAACAGTAGTATGGATGAGTGTGCTGAAGAGGAAAAATATTTAACTAAAACAAAATTATATTTAATGTGCCACTGTTCAGGCGTTCAGAAGTTCGTACGTGAGGTAATTTTATTAACAGCCAATCGATTTCCATTGTTCACTAACATCAATTTGTTTTCCAGATTGACTACCAATTTTATCAGAATATAGTAGATGTTATTATACCAGATGTGCTAAGATCAATTCCAAATACTTTGACTCAAGCCATACGCAATTTTGCTAAAAATATGGAAATTTGGTTATGTGAATCAATGATTGGCGTTCCGGAGCGTATGGTTCAAATAAAATCATCAGCTGTTTCAGCATTTTGTCAAACACTACGTCGCTATACATCCCTCAATCATTTGGCTCAGGCAGCTCGTGCTGTTCTCCAGAACAGTGGTCAAATAACGCAAATGTTAAGCGATTTAAATCGCGTAGACTTTCACAATGTTCAGGTAATTTGAAAAAATAATTGAATTAAAGTTTGAACGTTAAAAATTTAAATAGTTACTACTGTACCGAATCTAAGAAGAAATTTGTATAAATCTTTGTAGACGAATAGGATACAAAATATTGTATTTTGTAAATGTTGATGATTTTGCGATTCATTAATTTGTTTCCTAAAAATCCTTTCCGTTTATAAAAGTTACATTTCATAAAATAAGTGTTTTAGTTATTTCCGTATGAAATATAATAGGATCATATACCAATTCAAAGCTTGATTTTATTCGAAATACAAAATTATATTTAAACATAATTTCATTATAGGAACAAGCCGCCTGGGTATGTCAATGCGAACCAGCAATTGTACAGCGATTAGAAAACGATTTTAAATCTGCTTTGCAACAACAGAGTTCTTTGGAGCAATGGGCTGCCTGGTTGCAGGTCGTAGTAGAATCAGCTTTACAAGATTATTGCGGAAAACCTGGCTATGCAAAAGCAGCGCGACAATTTCTACTGAAATGGAGCTTTTATAGTTCAATGATAATTCGCGACTTGACATTGCGATCTGCATCAAGCTTTGGTAGTTTTCACTTAATACGTCTACTATATGATGAATATATGTTTTATTTAGTCGAACATAAAATTGCAGAAGCGCATCAGAAAACTGCCATTGCAGTTATTTGTGATTTAAAGGTAAATTTTATAAGCTATGTACATATATATGTATGCATGTATGGATTTATGCATATTTTCAAATGTTAAAAATAAAATATCCAAGGGGAAATTTCTTTTTAAGGTCCTATCACAGCATAAAAACATTATTTCTGTGAGCTCTTGAGTTCAGTTCAACAATCATTAAATTTTTTAAACATCTTTACATTTTCAATTGCAGCAGAAGGAAATGGAATTCGATTTTGGATATCAATTGGAATACATTGCTGCCGATAATGTTGTAAATGAGCGTGGACCTAAACGTATGAAACACGAATGAGTCGAATATACTCGTAATATGAAAAACTGGTTCTGGAAAACTTCTACCACCAATATATTTTGTTATCGCACAAAGCTTCGTAGTAACTTAAGAAAATAACATTTTACATACATTTAAGTACCATATATTACATATCAACTAAAGTACGATTATTAACATTAATCGATTATAGATATTGTAATTAGACAGAAAAATGGACAACACATTGCAAAATCGGTCAAATATTTCAAGTGCAAAAGCCTAACTATAATATACATACACTAGCTTAAGTCAGCTTAAGAAACTGTGCGAATTGATATAAAATATACATACATATATTTAATTACATATACTTAAACAAAGTCTCTTTGGTTTTTCTTAAGCATTGTACAGACTTTTCTTTCATTTTTGACATTACCTTAAGTTAGCTTATGTACATTGTATTTGGGCCTTAAGGCATGCGATTGCAGAAATATTTCTCTGCAAAATATAACAAAATATACTATATACACTTGCATACTCCAGACTACGGGTTCAAATATCTTGAAGGCTTTTTTAAAACAAAGTTAACACACCATGGTATTCATTAATATTGGATACAAATTAAAGTTACATATATTAGAGCTAGTTGAACCAGAAGTCTGATTTTAATGCAATTCGGTGGGAATAGTCCTCTAAATTTCTATTAATTGTTTACCAATTATATTCATAAGTACGACCAGTTAGGGTAACTTTTGGATAGAGAGGTTTACTATGGGCCAGATAGTGACTCTGAGATAAAAACTAAAATAATAATATATTATGTCTTTACAGCTAAGGCCAGATTGTGGCATATTCTTTATCTGTGTTAAAAATATTAAGATTTAAAAATTCATTGCAATAAAAAACATGCACAAACTGAATGTAGGAACTTTTTTTCTATAAAGAAAATATAATAGCATCGAGACATATAATAGTATCGAGACATTAAAAGTACAATAAATATATTAAACAACAGTAACTGATATTTATTACAATGAAATAAGATTGAGTAAAAAAATAAATATGGGGAATTTCATGTCAAGTGACCCAACTCAAAAAATCGATTGAAGGCACTAAGGTTAGTACTATTGGATAGTAGGTCAGAAACAAATTTTCAGCTCTATCGGTCAAGAACTTCCAGACATAGAGGGGGTCAAAGTTGGATATTAATGCGAAAACAATATGCCTATCCAACCCACTAAAAGTCATTTTGTGGACCAAAAATATTCTACAAAATTTCCCATAATCAGCTCAAAATTATGGAATTTTTTAAAACCATTTTGAAAAAATCGAAAATATTTTATTTTTCAAAAATTATACTGAGGTCAGGATTTTCAATCGCTGGTAGGGAACTGAGGACCATTCCAAAAAAAATATTTTTTATTTTTCTTGTGTTCAATACATTAATACGCAAAAATCGAAAGTTGTCTTTGAGTACTCAATTAGTTAATTTTGTTGTCAAGTTTAAGCGCCCAATGGAGGTGGTTTAAACTTAAGTAGTGTAAACAGCTGATGCAAAATAAATATATAAATTATGCACACTCAAAATACATTTTTTTTGTTTTAAATTTAAGTTTTCATTAATTTTCATATTAAATTTACAATTGTCTTCTTCTTTTTTATAAAAATACATTGTTTTTATAACCAACAGTGACATTTTCTGTTGTTTTGTATGGTAACACTGCGAAGTTTAATCTTATACTCAAAAACATCAAAGGGGATTAACATCAGATTAAATTTATGTTTAGATTAACTAATCTGATTATTAATTGGCATTTGATTGCCAACTCAAAAACCCGCTCCTAATGTTTATTTCAATAGAATGGCTAGAAAAGCATTTCATCGATAGAAATTGATCCGGTATAAGATACATTAATTGAAGGGCTTATTGCAGTAGCTCGATATGCCACAAAAATAAAATTTTGAATAAATCGACATTAAAGTTTAAAAAAATTCTCAAAAAATAGGATTTTTTAAATTTGTACTTTAAACACGCTTAATAATCATATAAGGTCGATAACTATAGGATGCCAATAGATGGACATTATAAATAAAGTGGAAACCACTGTTATAGCAAAAAATTGTGGCTTATCAAGTTATTGCCTAACAATAATTGAAAACTTTTTATTTTCAAAAAACAAGTTCTAGTACATTTTCAAAGTGGCTTATCATGGTCTTGCAACAAAAAAAAATATATAAATTTTATTTTCCATATGAAACTTATTTTCCATATGAAACGAAATGCAGAATATTGGGACAATCTTTAGGTGAAAGATTAGCGATTAAATTAAAATTAATCTTCGAAAAATGTTTTTGAGTACTCAATTAGTTAATTTAGTTTGCAAGTTTAAGCGCCCAATGGAGGTGGTTTAAACTTAAGCACGAAATGCAAAAGTGTTACAGCTGATGCAAAAAAATTAATACAATTTTATAAATATAAACATTAAAATGTTCTATTTATTGATTAGTATAAATTATGGGCACTTCAAAATACATTTTTTTTTTTTTTGTTTTAAATTCAAGTTTTCATTAATTTTCATATTAAATTTACAATTGTCTTCTTCTTTTTTATAAAATATGCATTGTTTTGATAACAAACAGTGGCGTTTTCTGTTGTTTTGTATGGCAACACTGCGAAGTTCAATCTTGTACTCAAAAACATCAAAGGGGATTTACATACGATTAAATTTATTTTTAGATTAACTATCTGATTATTAATTGGCATTTGATTGCCATCTCAAAAACCCGCTCTTAGTTGTTATTTTAGTGACGGAGCTTCGAGTGGAAATGCAGAATACCAAAGTTGCCAAACGGTAAAAATTTCGATTCGAATTAAAATGCAGAATAGTGGTGAATATCTTACAAAAACGTAGCTACGATCGTAACGCAAAATACACACAATTGTAAAGCATTGAAACGGAATGGAATTGCTTCTTCTTTTTCTTACGATAACTTCATACGATCATTGTCGTTTTGATCGAATTGGAATTCTGTGACAGGCCTGAAAATAAATGTTTTGAGAATTATAATAAATTTTGTTCGTATTGATCTGGCCACTTTAGTTATGGCCAGCTAACTAACTAATCCCACCCACACATAATAAATAATAAATTTAAAAAAAAAATCATGTGTTTTGAAAAATTAAACCAGATTTAGATAAAAAAGGTTAATAATATACTTTTTCAACAAAGTTTTTACTTATCAAATATTCGTAAAGGCAGGACGTTTAGTTTTTATTAAAAAGATCCGCCTCACACCTCTCACATAGACATTTTTGAAAATATATAAAACTAAATGAAGGACTTGTACCATTCTTGTAGTAAATGAGCGATATGTACATAGTAAAGAAAAACGAAATGATATGAATTATTTTTTGTTGATTTTTTTATTATTTTTTATGTATATAATTATTAATTTAGCATAAGTATATGTACATACAAAAATAGGATTAAATTACTTTTTTTAGTTTTTAATATACGTATTTATAGCGGCTAATTTAAAATGTAAATATATGTATGTATATATGTGTATAAAAAATGGTTAATATTCGTTTTAATGTTTGTACTCTATTGCATGTCGATCAAAAAGATGTAAGATTTGATTTCAAGCAAAAACTTATTGAACACGCATTTGATTATAATGTTGTTTATTGGTCGTCAGTCAGCCTGGTCTATATAAAAATATGTACTACATACATATGTACGTACGTATGAACATAATTACGTTGGTGTATAATATGTCTTTATGTACATTGTACATACTTGTACCGCTCTTTAACTTTTGAAGTTAGTATCGGTTTTATGGGTTTAAAATGCATTATAATTGTGTTTGTTGTTAGTAAATACTGCAACGGTTAAATTTGTAGTAAAATCCATTGAAGAAAAAGGTTTTTTGGTTGACCTTTAGCAGATGATATTATATTAAGGACAAAAGGAATGTTTTATTCATATGTATTATAATGCATGTTGTATGTATGTATACGTGAGATCAACACATTTCTAAATTATAAATATTAAACGTAAATAAAAAAAAAAAACTTTTATTGCAAAAGTTAATAAAATTGTCATGGATGTGAAAAAGCAAAAATATGTATTTATGATTTTTTATATGTTTTGTTGTATTAAACTTTTATATTTTACAAAGTTTATAAAATTGTATGTATATGTAGCTTTGTTCCAGTACTTGGCAGATATAAAGTTTTCACAGTAGTTTCGATGCTTAAACCCTAATATACATTTAGTGTTCTGATTGAAATATCTGACTAGTAATGGAGCAGAACTACACACACATATTTATTTAAAATGAATAATTATTTTAAATTAAACAACATTTTTGGAACATGTTTTCTGTGTAGCATTTAAATTAAAACTATACCTTTCAACAAAAAAATATCAATAATTATATTAATTACAATTATTAAATATTAAGATACTATTTTCGCTAAAACTTGTGAATGTAACCAAAATAATATTAATTATTTGTACATAAAACTAAAATCTTAAATTTGTAATAAAAAATGTAAAACGAAATTTATGCAATAAAATTAATTATCTTCAATATTAAAAATAAAAGGGCCAAAAACAAAAATATTTTTTCAATATATAGAATTTCCATCGCAACATCGCTTTATGTTGTACAAATGCATATATTTTAATAAATTCATTTATGTACGTAAATCGTTAACTGAAATGCAAAACAAGCAAATACTAACAATAGATTTGAAATGTAAAGGATACAATGTGATAGATATTGCAAAACAAAAGTGTAAACACTACTACCGCATGATTGAAGAAATGTTTTCTCTTTAAAATTCAGAAAAGGAAAATGTTGTAATAGTTTTGCATTGATTGGTCCCTCCTTTGAATAAAAACTAAACCAGGATCCATTATTATGATAACGAGCTTTTTGATTAGTACAACGTTGTGGCGATGCGGATGGTTTGTTTGTGACATACTGGTTTAATTAGTACTTAAAATATATAAACATTTTAAGAAATACATATGAATAAATAAGAATTCCTATTTTTTTAATTACAAGAAAAAACTTAAAGTAAAAAAAATTAAGCGTATTTTGTAGAGCAATAAAGTATTAAAAAACAAATTATTGTATACATGGAATTTTTTTCATTCTGCATAAACACTATGAAATGTATAAACATGCATTTGCGATTGTTAACAAAAACTTTGTTTTCAACGAATCGCAACACATTTTTCAGGAGCAAAAACTATCTTTGCATTTTGGAAAAATAAGTTTATGAAATTCGGTTCACCAATTGCATTTTTCGACCAATGTGTGTAAAATGTGTGTTTCCTTGCTGTTGATGAAGTGTTTGTTGACTTGAATTACTGTTTGTCGTAATAGTTTGTACGACAATCTGTTGATGCTGTTGCTGCAATTGTTGTTGGATTTGCTGCAGATCATGAACATTTTGAACTTTGACTATTTTCTTAATGTTTTGAATTTGCAGTTGCTGTTGTTGGTTGTGACTTTGAAATTGTTTTTCTATTTCACCAGCTGGCCCAATAGAGTAATTAACATTTAGTCGAGCTCTTTTCGGCGATTGATGACTATCGCTCGAAATGTTATAATCGGCCGGACTCAATTCTATAATGTCAGACTGACTTATAGCCATTCTCACGGCTTCCTTATCATCGTCGATATCAATGGCATCATAAATATCTTCTACCTATAAAGGTAAAATAATTTTTTTAATCGGAACAAAAAACGGCAAATATTTCAAAGTATTTCATATTTTGTTAATTGCTTGAAACAATTGAGAAGAAAGAGTTTTTTAATTGATCGAATCGACTAAAAATATTCTATAGCTCTTGTTTATTAATCAAACAATTCTTAAAATATATGTATGAAACAATGTCTTACCTCAATATCGAAATCCCGATGGATGTTCGTTGGAATACAAGTGGCGGGGGTATTGCTCGTCGTTGTTGTCTTCGTTGATATTGTAAGAGGTGAACTTATAGTAGTGTGCAAATTCTTTCTGTCGCAACTATCATTGTCTTCGTTGTCGTCCACAACATGTGAAGAAGTGCCGTGGATAATATCTTCATCTACATCCTCTTCTACAAGCAAATTGTCGACTAGAGTTTCATCCAATTCCTGTTCCTCCATATCGGACGCCTCTTCTATTTCCGACTGACTGTCCATTTCGACGTCGGAATCACCACTACTGCCGTGCTTCATTTCACCTCGCTCCAGAGCCTCCAAGTTATCTGGACAAACCATAGCATTCCTTATGGCCATGGGATCTTTGCGTGACCACTTTTGCACTTCTTCGTCCATTTTAGCAATGCGTTCTGGATTCATAGCCCAAAGACAACCTTTTCGCTGATTGCCATTTGTTGGCGGCTTTTCGATTTTTTCAAAGCATTTGTTGAGAGAAAGATTGTGTCGAACACTATTCTTCCAACCACTTGGTGCTGTTTTGAAATAGGGAAAATGTTCGCACATAAAACTATAGATTTCGGAAACTGGCAAAGACCCACGTCGTGAATTCTTAAGGGCCATTGCAATTAGGCAGGAGTACGAGTAAGCTGGCTTTGGGAATTCTGATTCAACTACAGTTGCTTTTATTTTCTGTTGAAGTGGTTTAACTGCAATTATATTTGAATTTGTGCTGCCGGAAGATGAACTGTTGCTCATGGAAGACAAACCACTTGCACTGAACACAGTAACTGAATTACCGGAATTGCCAGAGTTGTTAACCAAGCTGGCGTTTCCATTTGTATTGTTGCTGGTATTATTGACATTGTTTGTCATGGAAGCAGTTCCATTGACGATATGATGCTGCTGAAGTGCGTACGAGGTGTGATGAGCTGAAGATGCAATTGACTTGGGTGTAAAACTAGATGATGACTGTATCGAATTCCGTGATAAAATTTTGGTTACATGTTGACCATTATTGCTTATTGTTTGCATAGGACTAGATTCACGTTCACGCTTAAGAACTATCGTGCCGTTTGACGTTATTGTAGCGGATGTGGACGCAGAAGCTGCAGACGATTTCGAATTTGACTGTTGCTTCAACTTGTTGTAGGTAATGTTATTGGCAAACGTTAATCCACCAATACCAGGCCCTAGCTTTATAGTGCTTGATGATGTAGTTCCTCCATTTAAAGTATTGCTGTTATTATTATTAGCGGTTTGATTGGCGGATGAACTATTACCCGGAAATGTTGTGATGGATGTTTTTGATGATGTAGTACTATTAATATTACCTTGACTATTAGTCGACGTTGCTGTAGCCGTTTTAAATAATATATTTTCACTGGCCGATGATATGGGTACAACTTTTCTTAAGTCTGCTCCCAAATCTTTTCGAATGGCATCAACGGCTGCATGTTTGCGCTGCAGTGCGGAATTTGTAGCCAGAGTTGCTGGAACTGTTGTAGCCGATGTTACCGCTGATGAAATGGCCACTATCTGCTTTGGTATGTGAGATGTAATTTGCTCATTTCGTATAGAATGCGCACTGATCTTAATATGAGCGGGCGAAAAAGTCAAATGAGACTTGGTATCATTTACATTGGGTGACGGTGGTGGTGGAGAATTGCTTCGCAGGATATTTGCATTAAGATTCGTTTTTGGGGACATGTGTATTAGGGAGGATGATATTAAGGGCATTACAGATATCGGATTAACACATGCTCCAACATCTGCAAGAAAATCATTGCTTGCACCAAACCACGATGAGGAGGAATTTGATGAACCTAAGCCAAAGGCGGATGATGTATTCCAACTACTACCTATACTTCCGCAATCTTTTCCAGTATTACTGCAATTGCTATTTAAAAGAGATAATGAATCTGTGGCATGTTCAAGGGATGTTGGTAGATCTCCCAGGCAGCTCTCATAGTCATTTACACTTCCCACTACATTCGCAACCTCACTTCGTATATCTATATCAAGCATATCCTGCAGCGAATCTGATATGTAAAAGTCCAATGTAGGACCAGATGAATCCTAAAAAATAAAATTAAAAATCGTTTAAATAATTTTTGCACAAATGGGACTTAAATGTACAGGAAAATTTTCTTTTCCGAAAGCGATGTGTTGAAAATGGCAATTAAGATTAAACAATAGTATTTACTATTCTAGGAAGTATATTTATTTGCATCAGATGTTTACACATTTTAATTTTTGCTCAAGTTTAAACCACCTCCATTGGGCGCTTAAACTTGCAAACAAAATTAACTACTCAAAAGTACTCAAAAACAACTTTCGAGGATTAATTTTAATTTAATCGCTAATCTTTCACCTAAAGATTGGCTTATGTAAAAAAAATTTATTCTGGACAATTAGTTTTAGCAATTAGTGAATTTTTCAAACAATATCTTATATTTTAATGTACACATATGCATAAAGAACTTACTAAATGATAGTACCCCACCACGGAAACAAAACATGTGCCGAATTTTCAAAAAACTTGATATTTAAATGGATTTTAATAAAAACTAATTCGCTGGTGGAGGGTATTTATTGCACTCTAACTTGTTTTTAATTTTGGTTTACAACATCTAGTTGTTGTGTGGACTTAATCTCATGATGTCCACCAGCTATACCATCAACTTTTTATTCGCATTTTTTAAAGAAATATGTATATCGTAATGAATTCGTATAAAATCTTATATGCAGATATTATGATTAACTTAAAATAAATAATTCTTTGTAGATTTGAAAAACCGAAAATTTTTTCGAAAAATTAACAATTTGTTAATATAGCGTATATACAATGTACATATGTTATGTACCTACTTAGTTTCTTTGCAAAAAAATGGTATTTTGGAATGAACTTTAATTTTCGGCGGGAAAATCAGTAAGTTATATTTTGGGCGACCCTAATGTATGTATGTATGTATTAGGGTGATCGACTCGATTTTTCAACCGGTGTTAAAACCGGTTTTTTTTCTGCTTTACCAGTGTCGTTTTTTTTTTCTTAATGCTGATTTTTCGAATATCGAATAACCCGGTTTTTTCACTTTTTAAAAACCGGTTTCGAATACTTTTATTTGCTTTGTATTCAAAGATTTTTCAAATGAAATTTTTAAGTAAATCATAATACAGCCCGTCTAAGTTTTAAAAATATTCGAGTCGAGGAACTAGCGTATATTTTACTAAAGCTCCTTTGGTTAAACTTTTTTGATTTTCCTAATTAATTAAAAAAAATTATTTGTAAAATTGATAACTGTTTGATAAAATTTTATCAATCTTAAGATTATATTCCAATTACAATAATTCATTTACGGCTGAAATATTATGGAAGTGTTGGAATGCCTATGCATAGTACCTTATGTTTAACAGAAGTGTCCCACTTTTATCCTAATTTTTTTTTTTATATTAAAGAAATAATGTAAATCAGACGACTAGATCTAAAGTTATAATCTTTTAAACTGTTAAAAATCATTTCGGGCCATGTTTTATTAATCAAATTTAAACTTAACATTAATTTTTTCAAATTAAAATATATTATTTTATTTATAATGAAAAACCGGTTAACCGGTTAACTTTAGTAGACTGACTATAAATGAACAACAATGTAATGCAGAAATGTTCCAAAATTTGGTATTTATTAACGTAAACAACCGACTTTTAAAGACTAGCTACAAGCTAACTATCATATAATGCGGGAGTACCTCAAAATTATCTGGAGAGCATTTTGTTTCGACATGTTTTCTCATGTTTCTTTATTATTTGGAATTTTGTTTTACATTTTTGTCATTTTCTTGTGTACGTTGTGAAATTAGAGTCAGTAAATTGGAAAAATTAATTATAAAAGGTTAAATATTTCAAAACTCGGTCCCTAAATTCTAAATTCTGCTGATTAATACTGTAAATATAATACATTAACAGTTAACATTACACATAACATTTCAAAATTTATTTTAGATTTGGATCAATGGGAATCATGGAAATAATGAACAAATCATTTATAATTTTATGGATACCGGTGTTATTATTAGTTCCCCTGCAGAAAACTGATGCCTATTAATTTTAACGAACTAATATCATAACTTGTATTAAAGCGAAATGTAATTTAGATAACTAGTAGTTAAATTTTAAATATATTTAATTAAAATGTAATTAATTAATACAGTAGGGAATACAAACTTGACTTTTCTGCAACTAACTTTAAGTTAGTTAATAAAGAGTTATCTTTAAGATAATTTTTTAGTAACTAACTTTAAGCTAGTTGAAAAGTCATGCAGAGTCGGACAATTGACTACTGCGTAGGACATCGCCATGTTAAAATAGTCAGTTGGCTCCATTAAAAATAATCCAAGAATCAACCATAACTAGTTGATGAAAAAGTCGGCTTTTAATGCATTTAAAGTTAGTTGAGTTGCTGGCAGGGTATGTACTACGTACTTCATTTAGAAAAGGAATAAAAATATGTTTGTATGTAAGTATCCTTCCAAATTTAAATATTTTCAAAAAGCAACATGTTTTGTTTTACATTCATACTTAAACCAAAACGCACTGAATTCTTTATCTTACAGATAAATAAGTTGTTATTAAAAAACTCTCTTCAAACTCTCACAGTTTTTCTCACTTTTCCTCTCTCTCTCTTGTAGTTTCTCTTTATCTGTTAAAAATGAATATTAAATTCACCATTTTGAATTGGTTAAACTCATTCTTGCCACTCCGAATATGTGACTGACTGAAAAAAGGAATAAAGCCGTATAACATACAACAACAAAACTTCAGGGAACGTTTGCGTTTTTTTTGTGTAGTGGGTACAGTTGACGACAAAACACTTACAGTGCCTTTGTACTGTGTTTTCTTTCTTACTGTTTGTATTTGTGTTTTTGCTTTATTTTTCATTTTATAGCAAAATATGTGTATCTATGCTGTTAATGTTACTTTTTACAAGACCGGCATAAAACTAAATGTTTTTAAAAATTATTTCTTTTTTTTATTCCTATGAAAGGCAAGAAACACAATTGATTATTGCTCATTTTGTTTGAAAAGGTTATATTGTATCGTTTATATTTATAATTAATGTTGCAAAAATAATATCTTATGGAAAATATTTTGCGAGATTTTGTACAATACATATGTATTATGAAAATTCGTAATTATTTGGACATTAAAATTACTAAAAGTTGTTTTGCGGACCAGAAATACACTAATAAAAATTTTAATTATTTTTCCTTCGATAAAGTCAAAATTATGAAATTTCGAAAAGATTGCAGAATTTTTTGAACATATTGTACTTTTTCTCGTATGTATTCCTCCATACGGACACCATAATACACCCTACATACATACATACATACATGTATGTACATACATATGTACATATATATGCCTGTACATTTGGGTGTCCCTTTTTTTGTAGGAATACGAGAAAAATAAAAAAAAAATCATTTTTTTAAAAGACCCTCAGTTCCCTACCTGCTATTGAAAATCTTGACAATGCAATTGATGTACTAAATGCGTAAACAACAATATTTGTCACCTACACTGAAAATAATCCATGTCTAATATACACAAAAAATGTTGTACATTGTACATTGCTTTGCTATTCTTTCGTAATATATGTATACGAAATTGTACGAAATATTTTAGTAAAATGCAAAATAATTTTATATAATTTTAGAAAAAAATGTGTTCATTTCATAAATATGTCTTAACGAAATTATTTTTGTAAAAGAAAACAAAGTTTCTTAATATATAAAAAAAAAAGATATTACGACAGGGTTTCGTAAAATTAGAAAGGGGTTGATTAAACAATATTTCGTATTATACACGAAATTTTCGTATATATTACGAAAAAAGTAGTTACGAAATTTTTTCGTAAAGTTAAGCATGGATTATTTTCAGTGTACATACATATTTCGAAAAAAAAAACAAAATTAGGTATATGCCTCTCCAAACCAATTAAAATCATTTTGAGGACCAAAAGTAAAAAGGTCGTTCATCATCACTATACTAATGTACATATCGTCAACTAAAACGCAAACGGCCCTATCTAACATTTTTTAAATTTTACAGGAGATGCAAATAACTATTCAAATTGAAAATTTTGTTTCTATCAACGCGATTATTTGTAGGAAATAAGCAAATTGTGTAATAGTGAAACCTATCATTTGTTATGATAGTTGACAATGGCGTATATAAAAATGGATAAATTGGACTTTTTACCTTCAATATTTAATTTTGGCCGGAGGAGTCCAATTTTTTGTGCGGACATTCGTTTTGATGCAATACATTAGAATCAACTATAAAATCGATTTTGAATTTTTGGTTAGTTAGGGCCGTTTGCGTTTCAGGTGACGATATGTAGATACTACATATCGTTTCAGGTGACGATGTGTAGATACTACATATCGTCACCTGAAATCAATATAACATAAAAAAACGAACTCTTGATTGATTATTATTTACTAGATGATAATACACTTATCATCACAATTATTTAAGAAATTTAAACATATCTAAATTTTCATACATATCTAAAATTTCATCATTATACTTGTATTAGGGTTATCGCCTTGACTTTTTAACCGCTTTTTTCTGCTTTACCAGTGTCTGTTTTTTCTAAATCTTAATTTTACAAACATCATATAACCCGGCTTTTTTACTTACGGTTTCTAATATTATTATTTGCTTTGTATTTAAAAATTAAATTTTGAAGTAATTATACAGCCCAAGGGTCCACTTTTTCCATTTTTTTTTTTTTTTTGCATTAAAGAAATAATGTAAACCTGACAACTAGATCTAAAGTTATAATCTTTTAAACTGTTAAAAATCAGTTCGAGCCATGTTTTATTAATCAAATTTAAACATAAACGTTAATTTTTTCAAATTAAAATAGTTTTTTTTTTGATCTATAATGAAAAACCGGTTAACCGTTTTTTATTTCATTTGTAAAATATTAACAGGTTTTTTTCAAATGTTAACTATTCGAAACCCGGTTTGTATATTTAAGTCAGCTAAGAAGGTTAACGCCGTTTTCTGAAGGGGACACTATATTGGGGCCAGGACATAATAGGACCCGATTTCAAATGTTTAGAAACATAATATGGAAATACAAAAATAAAAATTATTGTACAGGATTAAAAAAAAATTTAGTCAATTTGGAACACAAAAAAGTTACCTAATTACCTACGTAGTTTCGATATTACCTACATGTAGTCATTTTTAAGCACTATGAGGTGCATTTGAGCCGATTTCAAGCATGAAACAAGTTCTTATCTCAGACTGAAAAAAAACTTTTATCCTCGTTCAAGAGTGAGCGCGGACTTCTATATCATCGACTAATATACTACATCTGAAAGTGCAAGAAAGAAAGACGCGGACAGAAAATATGATTTTATATGAAAAGTTATAGCCAAAAAAAAGTTCTGCTATAGTCTGAGAGAATCCTAATAGGTAATTAAGAGTTAAATTTGGGAAACGGGCAAACCGGGACTCGTAGATCATTAATATTTGAACCAGTCGGTATTGATGTCAATACCAATCTCGTGGTATACCTAAAACATCTATTAAAATCACTTGTAGCGTAAGGTTTGCGTATGTATATCATTTTATTAGACATGCTTTAAAAAACTTTTTCTATTTTAAACCAGCAAATCGGTCCATAAATATAAATTTTGACCATTTTCTATTTCTATGTATTATTTGTAAGATATGGAAGTAATAATTCGACCAACACATTAGTGTTCAATTTATACATCTTGTTTATGTGTAACAATTATAAACATTCCTGTAATACATTAAAATCCTTTTTTGATGTAAGAAACAAAAATTATATCAGTTAAAGTTCGTAATAGTTTAAGGAAAAACACATTATAGGTATCAGAGTACATAGTATGTATGCATGTAAAATAAAGGAACTGTACAATAGATTAAAAGAGCAGGTAAAAACTACGTACTATGTCCTTACATTGCTTTATACAATGTAAAAACATTACGATTTGGCCTTTTGTAATACAAATAGAAATCCGTCTTTAAGGAACCAGGTGAGAAACGAAATACTGCAAATGCAAAGACGACAGCTGCACTTCCTTACAAACAGGCAAAATTACAATCTATAAAAACATACATAATTCGATATTGTATTGCGCTTGTATACATTCTTCTCGTAGGTATAAGTTTAATAATTGGGAAAAGTGGTGGAAGTTGAAAGAAATAAAAGAGTTTATCCCTAACCAAAGGCATTGTTTTTCTTAAGTTATGTGTGTGTACATATGCAATAACAAGGACTTTCAAAAGGTCATCCTTAAATACAGCTGTTACTTAAGAAATGGAAATCCATTAGTTACATACATATTTAATAATTATAATAATATTGATACCCGGATTATACAATGCCGAAAATAAAAGCAAAAATACCATCAATGCTAGAGAATACCTACTATTTTATCTATTGTCTATATGGTATAAGAACACCTTAAATATGTACATATATACATTAAGGTGGCCCCGTTTGTATGGAGACAAATTAAGGTACTGATGTTCCCATCGAAAAACTTTAGTTCATTCTTTTTGATCTTTATTTCATCCTCTTTGATCCTTTTTCAAAGTTTTTGCAATTTTTTTCATATTTCACTCAAAGGATATGATGTAAAATTTCATATGAAATATAGAAAATATAGAAAATTTTATAATTTCGAATAAATTTACGTACTACATATAGGTAGTATGTAGGTACATATGTAGATTCATTTAACTAAAAAATGTTCGTTTTGCGAAGTTTTTGATTTTGCTGTCGCTAAAAAGTTTCTTAGGATTCAAACAATACTGTAGGTGTGTAACTTTCTATCTGCAGACGATCCAGAATAAAAATATTTAGCAGTTTTGTAAATAGTAATACTGCCAGCACATTGAACTTTCCATGTAATAAAAAAATATGCAAACCAACCCAGACATTAAACAACAAAAAATAAAAGAAAAATAAGGGTGCAATCATAACAAAAGGATAGACAAATGCAAATTAAATTAATCAGAGTTGGGGCTATTAAGCAGTTTTATCGTTCATTTTCAATGTCAGACAAATTGTTTTCACATACACATTTTGCTATAATTATAATGCGCATGTTTGAAATAAATGCAAATCTTCATTATTAGGGTTTCCTTCCTTATTAGAAATATCAAAAAACGGGGAAAATATACATACACATACATGTTGTACATGAATATGCTCCGAATATAAAAAAATATTAAATATTTGTATCTAGATATTATGTTTTATTTGTATTAATTTTATACCCACCCATGCGCATCGATCTTGTTTTGATCTTTCATCCAATGGAAAAACATAGTTTTAGGTATTTATTTAGATTAAATTTTGTTGAATACAGAGTAATACTAATAGAATAGATACTTTTATAAAAGCAAATTTTTGTCCAAAAATATAAATTTGACCGGTTAAATTTTTGAATTTTTCTAAACATTATTTTCTCACATTATATCTACATATTTTGCAAAAAGAACATGGAAACATTTTTAAACAAAATACAATTATTTAATATTTTTATGTATGTATCTTTATTGTATTTATGAACGTACGTTTGTTTAATGTGAATAATGAAAGAATAACAATAACGTGTTCTTTTGTTTTGATATACTTTTGCTAACAGTAAAGTAAACGGATGGATATATATATCATCAAAACAAATATGAAGAAAACACGGTGTCTTTTTCCAAGTCTTCTTCTGAACGTTTCAATTCAAAAATATAAAAAAAATCCATACATATAAACATGTATGTATGCAATACATTCAGTGCTTGTGTATTATTTTTGCGTTCATTTTGGAATGTTTACATGGAAGAATTACAAAAGCAAAAACTCTGCTTTAAATACATTTTCTCTTTAACAAAGAAATCTCTCTTCACATTTCTTTATGGTTGGCTGTTGCTCTACCAGAGCAGCAACATTGGCAGGGCAAGTGGTGAGAATATAATGAACTAAGAACGAGTGTGAAAACAGAAACTAGAAAAGCAAAATCAGACAGAGGCCGTTACAGAATTTGAAATTCACCAACAAAAAACACATGAACAAAATTCTTGCAGTTTTTTTATTCTTTCAAATTCACACACACAATCGCATGTACATAAATGTATATACGAATTTCGGCACAACATTTGAAGCTGCAATTAATGGAACTTTTCGCAAAAACCGGCAAAAATTATAAACAAATATGAAAATTATTACATACCGCGTATTTATTAAGGAATCCATCATGAAATCCACCTGCATACTCCTCCAATTCAAACATGGTATTCTTCTTTTACTTTAATTCAACCTTCTATTTGATTGATTTGCAATTCGTACTTCCTTTTATTTTAATAAAAGCTGCAATTTTTTTGGGAATATTTCTTCTTACTTGAATCTGCCGTATTTATTTTATTTACATACAATGTATGTAAAACGGCTTTTTTTTAAATGACGACGGCAGTGTGCTTTTTGCCTTTTTCTTTATTACATTGCCTTTTGTCTTTGTTAAAAGCAAACAAATACAAAAAGTGTATATATGTATGTACTTTTATATTCAAACACACACGTAAATAATTATTTGCGCGCAACCTCTTGTTCTCTAGCAACACCGAGATTTGCCGGTAAAAACCACAAGTTTTCTTCGATATTCTTAAACTAGTTTAGTGCCAGCTGCAACACAATTTCCATCAAAACCGTTTCTTTTTGCCGCCAAAGGTATTTAGAAATGAAATATTTAGTTATCATTTGATACTTTGAATTGAAAACAAAACACAAGACCAACACACTAAACACAACCACTCTCTGCTCTTGCTAGCAACATACTGGCAACAAACACACTTTTAGCAAAAAACAAGACCAACATTTTTTCTAGCACTTACACTACCTCGTTAACATTTATGTTAAATATACATATTCTTTCCAATGAATACACATGCATACTCATGCACACACACACAATATTCAAGTAAAATCTCTCTGAGAAAATTTTTCAAACGTAACGTATAATTTGAATTTTGTTTTTGTTACTCTCACTATATTAGTATCACAATTAAATTTATTTACATCCATACATATGTATATACATATCTATGTATAAACATATTTATTTACTATAGGATCACATGCATACACATGTACGTCTGCGGGTCCTTGAAGGGACACAGGTATCAATTTAAGGATAACTTTGCAATTAAAAAAAGAACAACTTTAACTGAACAGAACTATTTATTTTTAAACAAAGTACGTATAAACTCAGATTATTTTGCAATGTTTTAATACAATAACGAAATAACGAAAAAAGAGATTTTAAAACAATATATGTATGTATGTATAAATAATTATATGTAAATAATAATTCATGGCGCATGGGAATATATGGCGAACAAGTACATTCATATATGTAAGTAGTATACTGTGAAATGCAAATAAAATGACTTAAACATATTTAATAGTATCCATGCTTTTGCCGACGGTCCTTTAATAGCAGAATGTCACGCTTGGAGCTACGCTTAATATCAGGCCTCATGATTGCATTTTCTTTGAAATTACGATTAATGGCTACTTGTTGATTTTCAGATCGAGAAATTCGACGATTTTTTGGAATATCTTCTTCTATGAAAAGGCCAGATTGTGTCCACTGAGATTTTGGAAAAACATGCTCTTTGGTCACTTTATCGTGGTCTCGTTTCCTTTTGCCATTCTTTAAAACTGATAATGTAGAATCGTTGCTTCCAGAATGTGGTATTTGACGAACTTTAAAACCAACTGCGTATGGTGTAATTGGACTTTCCCGAAATTCCGTACCGTTAAATGCAAGTACAGAACGTTTTTTTGGGGTAGCCGGCTCAACACTTACTTTCCCTGTAGGCAATTGGATATATGTTGGCTTTTTCTTTTTCTTTTCTGGTGTCTGTGGCATCTCCATGAAATTCCCAGCCGATGTTAATGTGGTATGGACATTAGTATTGATACCTTCAATTTAAAAAGTATTCATAATTAAAAACAAATTATCGTGGTCGTAATTAAATGTAAAGTTACCTTTTTTACAATTCTTTTTTAATGAAGCTGATTTTTCAATAGCTTCTAGTACATCCGGTGGCAATTTTTTTGACTCAGTTTCATCCTGCTCTTTCTGCGTATCAGAAATAAATTTAATAAATATAATACAGCTATGGAATGCATATAAGAGAACATACCGTATTATGTTGGGATTGTTTCTTTTTACCAAGTATTACATCTGCAGCTTTTATTGCCTGTGATAAGGCTGTTTTAGTTTTATCTGAAAATGTTTGCACCAATTTAGGATAAATTATTTTTATGATTTTAGTACAATTTCTTACCTTTACGTTTTATGTCATTGGACACTTTTCTCAGTACATCTTCTGGGTTCAGTTCCTTTGGTAAATTTGAAACAGTTTTTTTCCGTAGTTTCTTGGGAATTTTGCGTTTATTCTAAAAATATGTTCAGTGAAAAATGTTGTAGTAAATTCAAAATTTAATTTGGATAACGATAAAAAAATGTGTTAAATATTACAGAATCCAATCTGTGTTTGTAAGAGTTAGTTTTAAATACAAATAAAAACACTCAAAACCAAACGTATGCCTGGTCTAATGATTGTACATAAACACAATGTAAATTTACCTTTTTGTTGTTGATTTTTGCTTCGAGCTTAGCTTGATTTGCTGCTTCTAATATTTCATCGCATCGATTTAAGATGCGTTGAATATTATTATTGGAATCATTTTTGTCGACTTTTTGATGAGGAGTTGAACATATTTTTGTTGATAGTTTACTGTTGTTTATATTTTCTATGGAGTCATGATGACTTTCAGCCATACTGTTTTCACCTATCAATTTGGATCGTTTGTGTAAGTGACGTACATCAATATCTACTATACTGTTGTCAAGAGTTTCCGCTGCCCCACAAAAACTCTTCGATAGACGCTTCCGTTTTGCTACTTGCCTATTGAGCTCAGTTTTCTGTAGTTCTATGCTATCAATAAATGATTGGGAGGGATTAAATTCACTGCTGGACAATATTCCCAAACTTTTACGTTTTAGTTTTTTGTTACTACCAACCCCATGGGATGAGGAACAAATCTCCATGTCTGGGTTTGTGGGTAGTGCCAGCGATTGACGACGAGTGCGTATCAAAGGATTTCCTAACTGTAATGGCATGTGTTTTATTATTTCTAAATTACTTAGGTCTTCGCCTTTAATTTCCTCATCTTTTTGTTCATCAGTAGATGATGAGGAGGCCGACACAGTTTCTTCTTTTAATTTAACATCAGTAACAGCAGTTTCTAAGTCTCCACCCTTTACAGTCACATCTATTGTGAATGAACGTTGCCATTCCTGTCGGCCTTTAGAACTCTTTGGCTTTTTAAAATTACCAAAGGAGACACTCAGTCCACTGTCTGTTTTTCGGCGGTGTGCTAAAATCATAGATTTATGTTCATTTTCTTTGTCAGCATCACTTTCTGATGTCACTGATACCTCTCCCAAATGACTTTCAGATTTGAATTTACTACTGTCATGTTGTTTATTATCAGGTGTGGATGAAGTTGTATGTCCTTCATCCGAAGATTCTGATTTTTCATCATTGCTATTATCTTCGTTTATTTCGGGGACTTCGGCTTGGACTTCCAACTCAACGGGTGATGTATCACTTTCAGGGTTTAAATCACGAACTGATTTATTAAAGCGGTCTGATTTATTAAGTTTACGAAGAATTTCTTTACGAGAGAAATTCAGTTTTTCTTCGTTTTCTTCTTCAACATCAGATTCACTTTCAGCTGTACATTGTAGGCGCAATGCTGAATCGCTGAGCTTACTGGAATCAAGAATTATGTTTTCGCTAGATTTGTTAAGAATATTGTTTGTTTCAACAGAAAATTCGCCAGAATTTGATACTGATTTCAATGCGTTTTCTACTTTAACGTTTTCTTCTGCCCGATTTTCATTATCTAACTGTGAAATGCATTTCTCTTTCAAATTCTCTTTTGATTCTCCTTGAACAGTCTCCACCTCTTCGTCTGATGACGATGAACTCTCTGCTGGACGTTGCAAACGTTTATACGTCTTCTTCTTCTTTCGATTATGCTCATGATTGTCTTCGTCTATCAGTTCATCTTCATTGTTGCTCTCTGAACATTCGAGTTCCTCATTGTCGGAAACAATAAATGAATCGGCATTTTCGCTGTCCTCTTCTTCATCTGCGTATTCATCGTGTTCATCATCAGTGGTATGACTACCAATTGACTCACCATCGATTGGTATTTCATTCTCTTCTATTTCTTTTCGTTCCTCAGAATCCATGGAGTCTCCACTTTCATAATCATCCACTTCCATTGCTTCATCATCATGGAAATCGTGTTTTCGTTTGTAGGGTTTCTCTCCTGGCGCTAATTCGCATTCATCATCATCATCTTCATTTCTGTCATCATGATCATTTTCTTCGTCGTCCTCGTCTTCAGATAAGAAAATAATACTCTTTTTTTTGTTCGTTTTGACTTGTTCTACGAATAAATCAGCATTATCGCGGCATTCACTTGCACTCGTGACATTACGCGTAACCACTGCATCCAGCTTACACCCCTCAATAGTTGTTCCCTTTACACTGGGATTGATCCACTTTATTTTGTTTTCATTGATGTTCTGATTGGAAGAAGGATCCCCAACAGTTGGGTGTGTTTCAGACTTATCATCTTTTATGATTTCTTCCTTTAGAGGTGTATTCTTGCCTTTAGAACAATGAATTTGCTCTTCTTCAGATTTGGATGCTTCTGTATTAATTGGTGTAGAGCTTTGAACTATTTCCAATGAGCGAACACATTTGAAAGCGCGTATTGGCGTCGTCTTCGCTTCAGTTTGTGAGTGCGTTTCCAATTCTTTATCTTCAGCTTCTTCACTATTTATTATAATTTCCTTTTTATCATCTTTTTTTGGTGTTTCCACTTGATTATCATCTGAATGAGTATCTAATGAATTTTTTTCGGCTTGAAAAGAGCCATCATGAGATGAGTTAACCTCGATAAAACTATTAGTAGTCTTGGTTGAGGCAGGCGTCTTAGGATAAATATTTTTGATGGTCATATCGTTTGTTGGACTGGAAACGAAATCTACTTTTTTCGATATGACTTTACAATCGCTGACATTAGAATCTTCTCCGCGATGAGGAATCAAAGTACTAACACTTAAAATTTCAACTTTATCGGTCGAAGATGTCCTTCCTTTAGCTTGTGGAGTAGTGTAATCTTTTACATTATTATGTTTAAGATCATCCTTAAGTTCCACAATTTTACCAACGGATGAGTTTATTTCATTCTCTTGCATATTATCTTCGGTCGTATTTTCAGCTTTTTCATTTACTTGGTTGTCATCTATTTGTTCTTCTGCAATGTTTTTTTCATTTATAGATGACGTTATTGGTTCTTCACTTTCTATCTGACCGCTTTTAACGCCGATTAATTCTTCAGGAGATTTGATATTAGCTGTATTGTCCTCTTCCAATTTAGTAGTCTCCTGAGTACCATGCAAGTTAGTGATTGAATCATTGGAGTTTGAATCTATTTGCAGCTTAAAGTTTGTTGACTCAACTGTGTCTGCATCAGAAACCTGCAAATCAATCTTTTCTGAAGCAACTTTTTCAATATCTTGTGGTATTTCATCTTTTTGGGCATTCGACTCGTCGTCGGTTAAAACTATTGTTGTTATATTTGGTGATTTATTTTTAATCTCCTCTTGCATCTGATTTTCAAGAACACTAATTTCAACATCAGACACCTCTTCACTCTCACCAGTTTTACTTTTAGGACCGGGCTTACGACGCTTTTGATTATTAGTTTTTATATTTTGATCTTCTAATTCTTTATTTTTGTTCTCATTAGTCTCTTTTGGACTTGCTGTTGATGTATTATTCGGAGACTTGATTTGTTGTGGAGACTTTGATTGTGAACGAGTCACTCTCGATGATTTTTGAACGTTAGAATCGATTTTCTCCTCATCTAGTGCTGCAAACGATGGTATTTTTAAGCTTGTTTGTGAAGGTTCATCGCTCTCCTGCACAGAAACACTACGTCTGCGAGTGCTTCGCCTGGCTGGCGTTATTGTTTCTGCATTCTCTGGAATAATTGCAGAAGATGCAGTGATTCGCTTAGCTGGAGTTTTTACTGGTGTCGCAACACCAGAAGTAGAATTACGACGCGTCATTCTTGTTGATCTAGATGGAGAAGCGGCTAATAAAAAATAAAGATGAATTATTAAAAATTAAACGATAAGCGATAGGTCAACAATCTATAATTTATAACTTACTTATCTCTGAAATGGATATTAATTTCGATGGAACTGGTGTACCAGGCCGGCTGGAGTTGTCACTATCCACCGAAGTTATCCGTTTCCTCAAAGAACGTGTCACTAAAACATTTTAATAATTCTTATTTTGTTTTTTATAAAAAAAAGAAAAAAAATGTGATGTCTAAAGAATTGTTCCCTTAAAGAAAAATTACAAAAACAACAAAAAAAGCTGCGTCCCCACGCTCACTCTAAAACCATTTTAAATAAAAAACGGTTCTTCTTTATTGAACTCTATAATTTTTAAACGTACATACATACATATCAATGTAGATACACAACTATGTAATAAAACTTTGATTTTAAATATTTAACAACTCACCACGACTTGCAGAATCAGTTACACTAGTATCCATTATTTAATAAATTTAATTTTTATGATTTTATTTAAATTTACATTAACAATTATAAGACGTTTCAATCAAACAAACAATCTCAGACTACGCCACAAAAAATGCTCAAGAATTTATCAAATGTGACCAGCGTTGTCAACTTTAAGATTTCAAAAAGCACCAAATTTAAGAGAAGAAACGCGTATTTCTCGTAAAAAACCACAAGAAAAATATTTCATAATATATATTACAACAGATTTTTAAGGAACTAGTGTTATACACTATATAGCAGGGATACATAAATTAGCTTTAAAACAACTTTTTTGAACAGGTTTAAACAAATGTTCAAAAAATTAAATAAATTTCTTTCCTCGAATTTATTAATATATTAATTTCTGTTCATATACATATGTAGAACCGATATCTGAAGAATTGGAACACGAATATTCCAGGAATAATGGTAATTCTAAAATATAGTGTGTTGATTTGTTTTGTTTATCTTTTAACTGTATACATTAATATGTTTTCTAAAACTTTCTTCGAGGCAGTTAAACGACTGAAAATTATTGAATAAAGAACATCGATCTAAAGTATTTTTTTTTTTTTTTTGAAAATGAGAAAATATATAGTAATAAGCAGTTTTCTGGAACAATATGTAGAACTAGACTTAAATAATTGACATTAAACTGAAAAATTTAATAAAACATGGAAAAACCACTAAATTCATTATTTCGATGTTAAACTTAGTGCCACCAGAGTTTTTAAGAAAAGCATAAAAAAGGCAATAGACATTGTATTGATTTTAATTTTTGTAGGAAAACGTTAAAAAAAGCACTAAAAGCACTAAATTGACAACGGTGAATGTGCTCTATTTAACAAGTGTTGCTAACTCATACGATATTGTTTAAAAATCAATAATCGCAAATTATTAAGCGACACGGCCACACATCAAATTTGTTTGACACAAACGGTAAGTTTTTTGATTGGGTTAGTGAAAAAAACTCACATGTATATATGCGGTGTGAGTTTTTTTACCAAATCAAAAAATTTGCCGTTTGAGACAATTTTATGTGTCGCCAAGGCGCTTTACCCAGCCATTCAACAATTTAAAAGCAATTTAGCGGATGAAAATATACATTATTCTAGCGATTTGTTATGTGGTGACATAGGTAACTGGAAGTTTAGGAACTTATATACATATATCTAGAATCCTTATAGATAACGAAGTTGATTAAGTAATTAATGTCCGCTTGTCTGTCGTTTTGTCTGCTTATATGTTGAAATTCATTTTCCGAAGACCCCAGATATCATCGGGATAAAAAATTTTAAACAATCCTAATTTGCTATTGCAATAATGGTTCATAAATAATGAAAACATATGCAAAATTCGGAAAATCGCAATAGGCAATATATATACATATATATTGAATGAAAAATATTCGAATGATCTTTCATCTGATATACATTATGTCTTGGAGAAAAATTTTACATATTTTCGAAATATATTCGAAAATGTGGTCAAAAATATGGGTTGTTGGGGGCTTTACTCATATATTAAACATTTATACACAGAATGTGGATTTTTTGTAAAAATTAAAAAATTTTAATTTTAAAGAAATTTAAAAAAAAATCCAAAAAAGTTAAATAAATTAAATAATTTTTTTTAATGTAAAAAAAAGACCTGTTACTTGTTTTTTCTTTCTGTTAAAAACTAAGAATTGCGTCGATCTGCACAATTTTTATATATAGACTTTTTCCAGAAACTGACCAAAGTTCAAGCAGTAAGTCGACTTTTAGTAGAATAATAGAATATCTTCCTTCTTTTCAGATTTTTCATTTCGTTTGTATTTTTTAATAATCTAGCAACACTGTGATACAATATGTTCAATTGTTCGAATGTCAATTTATTTATAATTCGTTTATTATACGGATTTTCTATCAAAAGTTGGCAACGCAAACAAAAAATATATAAATAAAAAAGTAGTAATTATTAATATAATTTTTTCGGATCTGGTAGCTTTCTTGTTGGAATTTTCATACCAGAAATCAGAAAAAAAGTGAAGTAACAAAAGACGAAGAAAAAAATAAATAAATTTTTTGTGTGATATTTTTTGCTATAAGCATTTAATTAATCAGACATAAAAGACGGCTAGAAAAAGATAAAGTATCAAAGAATTCTTTCATCAATGACATTATGGCCGCGGAGCAACGAATTTTAAAACAAGATGGTTACTTGGATGTAGGCTCTATCAGTAGAGGTGGTCTTGTATCCATGGAAAGCGGTACTGTTGTCAAATCGCCCGCATCTAGCACAAGTTCCATAATTGATGGGAGAGCAGTTCAGACAACCAGTATAGTTTATCATCCCAATCTAAATGTTATACTTGTGTTCGATAGTATCAACCAAATCAAAGTTCTCGATGTGCACTCCGGTGTCATATTGCAGACATACCATCTTGGAAATGGTAAATTGGTTGCAAAAAAAAAAACTTCAAATCTATTGATTCCTAAATGCATACAAAGGCAGTGAATACAAATTGTGTTTGTGAGTCATAATGGTGTTGTTTTTGCTATTTTGTGAGACGAATACAACTTGTGTGATCACTATCACATTTACAAGTCAAGTATTCTCTACTCTGTTATACAAGTACAATTTATAACAATAATGTAACAACTATTTTTTTTTTTTTTTTGATGCACAGTAAACAAATTTATTTCCAAATTCTTTCCGTATCCGCCAACAACAAAATATCATTACATTTTATTTACATAAATGCATACACATGTATGTATAGTTATTCAGGTTCATTGTTCGTTGTTTATGTTAGTTTAACTTACTATACAAATATGTAGTTATTGTTCTACATAGAACATAGTACATACGTATGTATATGCATATATAAATTATTTTGTTTCTTACAATAATGATGATTGTGGACCAATCTCAGTAGTGAGCTCACAAATAGTTATTTTCAAAGCTGTAGGTCTAAGCTTATGAAATGTTTTAAAATTTGAACATACATATTTTTATTTTTTTTTTAAATATCGTGACCCTATATTCAAAAAGTGCGAACTCAATTTTGGGCAAAGTGAGTTTTTGATGCAAAAGGATTCCTCAATGCAGGATCCACGTCTGGTATAAATTTGAAACCAAAAATGTAATATTTGCACTTTTAACAACAATTTTTGTTAATATGCTATCTCAAAGTTAAATTTTTATTGAAGAAAATAAGTGCTAACTTCCATATAAATTTTACAACATTTTGTATATTAACAAGATGAACATGCTGAACACGAAACAGGTGAAGATTAATAAATTGAATGTATAGTTTTTAAGATATGATCATTTATATATTTGTATATAATGCCAGTTTTCGACTTTAAATAATGTTTTTCCGAAAAATGTAAAGTTATTTCAGAAATAGTTTATAACACTAAGATCTATAATATTCTATGGTTCCAATTTAGAATTTTGATTATAAAAAAGTCTTTAAATGTGCAAATTATGGAGTATTATTCAAAAAATATTGGTACTTTTTATATTCAGAAACTTTTCATAATTTAAAATATTTGTACTGAGAATAAGGAATAGTAAACAAGCAGATATGCCATGAGTTTTTCTACTTAAATGGTGTAAATGCATTTTATTGGACTTACTGGTTTGACTTATATCCCTTTAAAAAAAAAACATTTCATAAAATTATAAAATAACGCATATTATTAGAAGAAATGTTTGTTCTATTTTTTGAACAAAACATGCTAACTTAGAACAAATATTAGTTTTTTTGTCGACCTAAAAGTGCTATCTTAAATAAGTCGCTAAAATGTGCAAAATATTAAATTTTTTTCATAGGTAAGAATTAGTAAGGATGTTAAAAACGTATTCTGGAAGAAATATTGTCTTTTAGTGCAATATTTCACGAATTAAATAGTTTTTTTACTTTCCTGAAAACTAGACTTTATTGATTTAGCACTTTTTGAATAAAGGGTATCGATATGTTCAAAATTGGTATACTATTGATGTTAAATCGGCCACAACTTCTAAGTTAGTGACAGTTAAATTTAGTACTATCGAACTTAAGAACCAGACCAAAAAATATTTCTCCATTTTATGCTATTAATAGTTTTGTCTGGAAAAACTTATTTTTATACCCTACACCACTTTAGTGGGGAGGGTATATTCGGTTTGTGCTGATGTTTGTAACATACAAAAATATTCGTCCTATACCCACCTTAAAGTATACCAATCGGCTTAGAATCGATCTGAGTCGATTAAGCTATGTTCGTCTGTCCGTCCGTCCGTCCGTCCGTCTGGCTGGCTGTCCATGTTAACCATGTGCGCAAGGTACAGGTCGCAATTTTCAAGATAATTGGATGAAATTTGGCACACACTCCTTTTTCGGCCCAAGGACGAAGCCTATTGAAAATGGTTAAAATCGGTCCGTTATTTCACCTAGCCCCCATGCAACAGAACCCCCCGAAAAGGGCTTCTGAGCTCATAATTATGTTAAATATACCTGTATATTGATAAAAAGTGGCACAACTAAGTTTTATACAAGCCTTGATGACCTTGCCAAATTTCATAGAGATCAGACCTCATTTGACCTATCTCCCATACAAAGTCCCCTTCAGAAAATTACTTGAATGTCCAAAATTAACTTATAAACACAAATATAGCGATGAAATTAAGCACAATAAAATATTATGTAAATATAAATATATTCACAAAATTTTATCAGGCTTGGTCCATATGTGCCCCTAGCCCCCATTAAAGGCTCTTTCAGAAAATTAGTTTTTCATCCATAAATTGCTTAAATGTATCGGAACAAGGTAATAGAAGATAAATGCTTTATTATGAAAAATAAATCACATTTAATATTCATAGCTGGTGTAGGGTATAATAATGTCGCTCACGCCCGACTATACTTTCTTACTTGTTTTCCATTACGATTGAAAGTGTAATGCTGAAATGGAAAGTGGAAATGATCTTTCATACACTGAAAATAATCCATGCCTAATATACACGAAAAATGTCGTACATTGTACGAAATGCTTCGTGGTTTCGCACCACGAAATTCTTTCGTAATATATACGAAATTGTACGAAATATTTTATTGAAATGCAAAATAATTTTATATACATAATTTTAGAAAAAAAAATTTGTTTATTTTACGATTTTTTTTAAAGACATAAATATGTTAGTTCTTTTAAAATAATTATTGTAAATTTAGAAAAAGATTGCGAATTAAAAAAAAAAAAAAAAAAAATTTTATGTTTTTTAAAAAAACATAAAAAAATTTACAGGAAATTAGCTGCCTAATTTTTAAAATTACGGATAATTTAACTCGCTTAAAATTATGAAAATAACAAAAAAAAAAAATCGTAACAAAATATTTTTTTTTGTGAAATCAAAAATAATTCTTGTATATTACTGAATAATTTTGTTACGAAAAAAATTCGTTACTTTCGTTAAATATTACATGCCTTAACGAAATTATTTTTGTAAAAGAAAACAAAGTTTCTTAATATATACGAAAAAATATATTACGACAGGTTTTCGTACTTTCGTAAAATTAGAAAAGGGGTTAATTAAACAATATTTCGTATTATACACGAAATTTTCGTATATATTACGAAAAAAGTAGTTACGAATTTTTTTTGGTAAAGTTAAGCATGGGTTATTTTCAGTGTAGAACTGTTAATATGAGAATATCTTGATATGTTTAGGTACCATTATAAATTAAGTTTAAGCGAATTGGTGAATAAGGATTATATTTCAGAAATTTATAAATAAATTACTATGGAGACGTTCGTTACAGTGGAGTTAGTTTATTATACATTGTTCTTTACTGTCATCACTTTTATTAGAAAATACAAACTTTTTAATCAATTGGCTACTTTCAATCCAAAGTTTTTCATTATAAATACAAATATGAATTTCCATTATTTTATTTATTCATTATACAGCGAAACTCGCCTATAACGAACATCGCGGGACCAGTAAAATTTATTCGTTATAAGCAAAGTTCGTAATAAGATGAAGCTTTTTTTAGATCAAAAAATTAAGTGGCATTCTACGCAACTAAAAGAAGGAATATGATTTGCAAATTTAATTCATATTCTTTACAAAAAAAAAAAAATTGATTTTATTTGATTATATATTACTTAACAATTTATTTTTTTTTTTCAAAAAAAGCTGAATATTGTCCTATGATTTCAACACATTGAAAAAAAAAAAAAAAAAAATTAAAAAAAATATGGCAATCTGAAACTTTCAACACTATTTGATTCACAATTCGCATAATTTATTCATCTTTAATTAGTTTGTATTTCATCACTGTATTTTCTTATTTCTCGAAAGATACAAACCACAAAATACATGGTTATTTTATGCCATTGCAAGAAAAGATTATCATAACAGATGGTCATGTTATCGGTTTTCGGGGAGACTACAATGGAGTCTTACTATTAGACACAGTTTTGCAAACACCAATTCCACATAATGATGACCCAATACGAATTGAAATGCTACTGTCAGAAGCTGTACTATTTCAGACATGCCTTAAAGAATTAGAAGAAGATCTTGAGTGTCCTAACGACTTGTTAAATGAGCTTATGGAAAAAATAAAAAGTGCCCAATCGAATTCGAAAAAGGGTATCAAAGCTCAAAGGGTACGTATATATTGTACATATAACATAAAAATGTGTATATTATTCTTTAATAAGTTACTGTTCTTTACTTTCATGCTATGGTACATATTTCTTACTTCATAAAATATTTTCCTAATCTATTTTATTTTTTTAGTGGAATACTATTTGTCTTCATGTCCCATATTCCAGCCTTAAATTGGTGGCCAACAATTTGGTTATAATGCTAAAACGTCTCGAAAGGCATGTACCGGCACTGGCCATTGCATCGGCAATTAATGAACGTTTGACGGATTTACTTGCTGGTGCACGTTTACGTGACATCAATTGGCATTGTAATAATTTTCAGCGTGTTCTCATGCACTCGGAGGCAGTGCGAAGGCAAACATTTGAAAAGTGGCCCCATATGGACTACAAATGGGCTCTGCCTGATCAGATGGCTCAAGCTGGTTTCTATCATCAGCCCTCGTCATCAGGAGAGGACAGAGCTATGTGTTTTACTTGTAATGTTTGCCTGGTTTGTTGGGAAAAAACTGATGAACCCTGGAGTGAACATGAACGCCATTCGCCAATGTGTCCATTCGTCAAAGGTGAATACACCCAAAATGTACCTATAGCTGTTACATATGCTACAAATCCCGGAGTATTGGTTCCTGGCACACAAGGATTCGATGTAATCTCGAACAGTGACTACGCTAATGTATTGTGCACAAGTTGCACCCAAACTGGAGATATAACAATTTGGAGCATTGAACGTCATTTGAAGCAATTACACTCTTTTAATATCGCTTCTTTAATGAAGGACATTCTGTGCTGTAATAGCAACAGTAGTGACAGTACTTCAGAGTGTGCAGAAAGTTCATATGAATGGGTTCGCGTTACATCAATTTGTGCTTTGCCGAATGCCAGAGCACAAAGCAAAATATTCTCTATGAATTCCGCACAACCAGGCTCTAGCAGTTTAGGCTCTGCAGCTACTACTACGGGAAACTTACTTCCGCCATCAATATCTCCTTGCACATCAACTTCAACTATTCGTGCTGGGGTCGTAGGATCTAAGATCATTTTGGGCCTAAGTACCAAAAAAACCACAGGCGAACACATGTTGCTGATGGCAGTTTTAAAAATAGTTGAAAGTGACCACCCAAATGAAAATTTAAAAACTAAAAATGAGAGTGCGATTGACAGTGCTACTGCAACAATTTCTGGTGATAATAAAGATACAGTAGCATCTAATAATCTAAAAGGTATGATTTTATTAATTTTGTTTCAATATACATATTTTAAGATCAATATTATCAATATTAATGCTCTTGGAAACCTTTACAGTTTTGAAATAATGAATATTATCAATAAAGAAAAAAAAATGAACGGGTATTATTGAAAACAAGTAGGAAAGTATAGTCGGTCATTGCCGTCCATATGATACCCTACACCATGAGTATATTTTAGAAATTATTTATTTTTCATAAAGATACTTTTATGCTGAATTTTACTTTAATTCCGATTTAAGTAATTTATTGATGATAAACAAATTTTCTAAAAGAGACTTATGTATATGGGAGTTAGGGTCAAATATCGGCCGATCCTCAAAAAATTGGGAGGAGGTATATATATATATATTTATATAAAATTAGGTATGCTAAATTTCATCGTCATACTAATGGTTATAATTCAATTTTGGACGTTTAAGATATCTTTGAAAGGTGGGTTTGTTGGGACCAAGTTTGAACGATCGATTTCACATTTTCTTGGTGTTCTCGTTTTCACTGCCGAACAAAAAAAAAAAAAAACGAAATCTTTTCATAAATCTTTTCATTGCGACAAATCGCTTTTGATTAAAATAAAATGACAAAAGCTAACACTTTAGAAATTAATTTGTTTAAATATAATATTATTATAAAATTTAATCCATTCCCAACAAAAAAGTGTGGAAAAAGATTTCCACACTTATTTTTTTTTTTCCGTTAAATTTATCATATGGTTCCTGACAGCTGATTCAGGTATCCCACATCCAAATTTTTTAAATAAAATGAGCAGATAGTGAAAGAAACTACTTTTCAGTGTTAAATTTTATATAAAATTAGTTTTTAAAAAGATTTCCAGCAGATTCACTTACAGATAATGGCAATACACCGGTTTTTGGTCCAAATTTTGAGCAAAATTTAAATTTTTTGTAACTCAACCCGGTCCAGGAGGTTAAATGTGACTTAAATACCCAGCAAAAAAAGTGAGGAAAAAGAAGTAGAATTTTCACCACAAATAACATACTTGAAGTACTTCCAATTTTGGTGAAAAACCTATGAATTTTACATTAGCGTGTCATTGGAGGGATGTTGTTCATTTTTGACAACTTTGAACTACATCTAATCTTATTCATAGATGCAGTAAAAATCCGATATTTGGATGTCAAAAATAAACCACATTTTTTCAATGACACGCTTATGTAAATTTCATTGGTTTTTCACCAAAATTTGATGTACTTCGAATATGTTATTTGTAGTGACTTTTCAACATCTCTTTCCTCACTTTTAACTCGGTTTTTATTTGTAAGGAAATATTTGGTTTGTAGAAGCGAAAAATATGCAATCGCATTTTTAGATGTGATTAAGATGTCGTTTGTAAAGTATGACATCAATTATTTTTTGCTGGGTATAAAAGTATCTTTACAAACTGGCAAAATAATATTAAATTAAGTTAAATTTAACACAAAAAGTTTAAAAAATTTTTAAATTCATCTTGATTTTAAGGTAGGTTATTGTTTAGGAATTTAAAGTAAGTTTAGTTAAAATGTGCCCTATAATAGTAAAACGTCAAAACAATATTTCTTCGTATTTTATCACAAAAAAAAAAAAAAAAAACATATAAGACTTTAGAACATAGCTGTAAAATAATGATTAATAATCGTAATCATTATTAATTAGATTATTTTTATTATAAAGGTGAAATTAATGATTAATTAACGATTATTTTAAATTTTTTTAATTAATTATTGATTACGATTAAAAATAATCTAAATATAATCAAGGATTAAATGGAATTAATGAAAATAATCAAAAAAAATCAAAATTAATCAAAAATTTAGTTGATTATTTTCATGGATTAATTTTGATTAATTTTGATTATTTTCCATATATTTAGTATAATTTTCTCCAAAAAAATAACTCTAAGAAAAATTTAATTATTATTCCGGTAATCCGCCAAAAATTACGGATTTTTTGAGACCCATTTCGAAAAGATTGCAGTCATTTTTTTCTAATATGTTGTACTGAGACCAAGATTTTCAAACGAAATAAACTTGATAAATATATTGTTTTCAATAAAAAAAAGTCACGTAATCGAATAGTGTGTAACTTGGAAAACAGTTTTCCATTACACGTAATGTAAAAAGACAGAGAATTGTAGCAAATATATTGAAATTAATCAAAAATAATCGAAATTAATCCTTTAAAATAATCAAATTAATTATTTGATTAATTCTGATTATTTTTGATTATTTTCATTAATTTAAATTAATCCTGATTATTTTTAGATTAATTTTAATCGTAATCAATTAATAATCAGAAATTTTATATCAGAGAATTAAATAATCATTACGATTATTTTTGAAAAATAATTTAATTGATTATTAATCGTAATCAAAATTTTACAGCTATGCTTTAGAAAAGGTAAAAAAATAAAAAAAAAACATACATATTTTGTTTTCTTCATTTTAAAACATTTTTTAAAAAAATTTTGAATGTAACATTCTTTAAAATCATTCTTTGAATTTAAATTCTAAAGCTGAATTCCTTGGCTTTATATTCCATTGAATTAATTCCTAAGAGAATTCATTCTTTATTTGTTTAATTATTCTATTACAAATTGAATGAAAGAAAAAAAATTTAATTCAATTTTTAATATACAGAATGCTTTTGAATTATAAAACAAAACTTTCATTCAATCTATTTCAAATTAAATGGTTGAAAAATTTTTAAATTTAATTTGTAATAGATTGAATTCAAACAAAATTTATATCATTCAGAGGGGATTTAAAAATCAATAGGAATTGTTGAAATTTATTTTAATTCAATTTGTAACAGATTGAATGCAAACAAAATTAATTCATTCAGAAGTAATTTAACATTCTATTGGAATTAATTCATTACAGAATTAATTCAACTATATCGAAAGCTTTAAGAATTAATTCTAGGAATTAAATTAAAGGGAATGAGTTTGAAGAATTGTTAATTCTTTAAAATATAACTCAATTTCAAAAAAATAATTAGGGAATGAATTCTTTTTTTTTTACATAAAATTCAACAATGAAAAGTATTTTTTCCGTTATCTGTTTATTATATTTATGAAATTTTGAATGTGGAACCCCTGAATCAGCTATCAGGAAACATACGGTAAAGTAAACAGTAAAAGAAATCAAATTTTATCATAAAAAACAAAGTAAAAAGAATATTTTTATGTAAAGAACTTAATTAATAATTAAAAATTTAGAAATTAAATACAAAAAATCCGTTAAAAAAAATCTTACCTTATGTCTCCTATGCAATACTATGAATCGTTTCTATTATTTTTTCCAATACCAATTTTTTTGAATATCAACAAAATACGATGAAGCAAGAAAATCTATTAAATATATATATCATATAAAAGAAGAGTTAAATACCTTTTATTTGAGGAACTAATAAACAAATTCTAGCAGGTAGTTTTTGAGAAAATTTAGTTTTTACCACAAAATAAGGTCGTTTCTATTATTTTTTCCACCACTGTATATACTTATTACTTTAACATGGATGTTATACTTTATGTTTGTTATTTAATTGATATTTTTAGGTGAAAACGACACATCGCATGCTAAAGAAGTGTCATTGATGAAAACATTTAATAAGCTTGGCGAGAAAACACATTCATTAGTATTTGAGAAATATGCCGATGGATTCGATAGCAACGGATTTGCAAATGATATAATGGCACCACCAAAGCCAGATGTTAATCCAGTAATGTCGGGTGGTAAATCGGATTCACCTATGGAATACAATGATGCTTATCTTGAAGCGGAATTTAAAAAGATGGCTGATCAATTCGTTGACCTAAGCAGTCTTTTCGACTATGATTACGGCCAGCCTCTGGATAGTAGTTCATTAGCTGGTGATGAGGGCGGTGGAGGTGGTGGAGGTGCTGGAAGCGTTGGTCCAAGTGCCGGTACCGATGATATGGAAATGGATACCAGTTATTTTAAAGAAAACCTTCTTTCCGCTGCCAAAGCAGCCCAAAAGAAAAATATAAATAAAAACTTTAACAGCAAAACAAACAATTCACCAAACCCTGAGACTGGAGGAATTTCGAAAGTTAACTATAGTGAAGATATTGACTGCATTGTCGAGAGTTGCACAATTCTAAAGCGTATGAATGCCTTAAATGATGGTAATTTAACAAATGGAAGTGAAGAACTTGTGGAAATATCAGACATTATTCCAACAAATAGTAATTGTAGTCAATTACTGGTTAAATTATTAAAGACAAAAGCATCAAAAGTAGCAACTACTAGCAAGATAATAATGGCTAATGTAGCTACTGATGCCGATAGTGACAATGATGGAGAAGACGATGAAAATAACGAGGAGAGTAATAATCAATACAAGAGGAGCCATTCTCGTACTATGGCTAAAAAATCAGTTGGTGGTCAGTTGTTGCTCTTTGATTGCATTGATGGTGCAATTCCTAATGAACATAAAAAGGCTATAACATTCAGTAGAGCAAAGTGCCCTAAAGATATTTGTATTTTGCCAAATTTTCAGTACCTGGGCGATGTTTCCCAATCGGCCATTGATGAATGCAACAATGGTGAATGTACTGGTGCATTTTCTGTGGTTTGCGCTGATGGCAGTATCGAATTATTTTCATTGCGTAACTTTCAACGTATCAGCAGCATAAAAGAGGAACAGCATAATTTTATTGCCGTAACATATTGTCGCAGTTTAGAACGTTTATGTTGTTGCACTCAGGATGGTGCTTTAATTTTTTATTCTCTTAATGATTCGGATGAGTCAGGAGATGAAATGATTGATATGGAGGAGGAAAGCTGTACTGGCATTACGTCAAACGAAAGCTGCGCTGAACTTTGTGTAACTGATGGAGGTAATTCGAATCAACAGCATCAACAACATGGTACCAATGTATCATCAATAGTCGAAGAAGATTTAGCACAATCTAATTCCGTACAGTTCCCATTCTGCACAAATATAAAAATTGACTGTGGAGCTAACCAAACCTCAAATTCTGGAGGGGGAGTGCCTGCATCGCCATCTCCATCGTCTATGACTGTTAACGCGGCGGCCTCAAATTTACTAGCTTATCGTTGTGGAGATCTGACATTAGATGAATTGCGATCATTATATGCTCTTACTCTTTTTGACGAAAAGTCAATACCATACACAGCCGAAGTACCCAGTTGTTGGAATAACTTAGTGCAAGCCCAAAAGCAACGAAAGCAATCGCAGCATACTTGGCGTCTACACAATGATGCGTAAGAATAATATTTTGAATGAAAAAAATAGATTATATAAACTATCTAAAATTTCCCTTGTTTTGTTAAATGTTTCGCATAATATTTTGAATACAGTGATACAGCATAATAAATGCTCTAAAACTTTAAAATATGACCTAAAAATTATACATATTTCGGAATTAATTACTATATCATTAGTCAGAAGTAATTTTTTGAAAGGAACGCTCACGAACGGTCATCATTTACTCCAAAAAATTTTGCGAAACATCATAAAAATACAAACTATAATTAGAGGGTATAAAAAAATGTTTAAAATTTATAATTTTTTTCTATTAGAACGACATGGGATGAGCATATAATTGAAATAAATTTGTTGCAACCTGCAACTTTGGGGCACATTGACTTAAAGTTTTCGTTGTATCAACCTTGCCACAATCCAGCAGCAATACAAGTAACACTATTGAAGCAGAATACCAGTGGATTCGGCTACAGAATGAAGGGCCCACACTCTAGTTTTAAGCATCAGTCTATGGAAGAAGGAGGAAATACGGATGTTCCTTCCAGTAGCAGTAATACTAATGATGGTATTAAAATATAAACTTAGTCTTATTTAGTCCGATAATGTTGATAAATATTTTAATTTTTAAGGCAACAATGAAAATCCAGTTCTAAACGAAGAGTTCTTACAGACGCACAATGCTGAAATTTTAGCTGGTCCAATAGAACTCTCATCGTGTATAGATTTGTGTGATCAAGGTGGCACAGTTATTTTAACATCGCCAAAACTTTACAAAACTCGTACTAGAAATTTCCTGTTGCATATAAAAACAATGGCAGATCCTTCAAAAGAAGGTCAGTGCAAGACGCGCGGTAAGTTTCAATTCGTTTGAAAGTAACAATGTATGCATATTCCTTTTAATAAACTAACGGAATCAAATTAAAGGTTGCGACTGGCTACATGAAATTTCAATATACGTACGGGGTGTTAAACCACAAGCGCAAATACCAAATGAGCGTTTACAGCGTATTGCCATGTTGGAAAGCAATCAATTACTAGACATTCTTTTCAAAGTCATCAGTAAAGCGGAGACCTCGACATTGGAAAAAAATTATGCCCTCGATATTCTAATTTGGATTTGTTGCATACGCTTAAAAAGATTCCGTTCCCCGAAATCAGAGCGATGCAAAGGCCAACCAGTGTTGGCACAACAGCTGGAGTGCATCAGTCTAACTGAAAAATATTTGGAAAACATACTACGTTACTGTATTATTCACAGCAGTCGCAGTATGGCACACAAATGCGTCAAATTAATTTTAGTTTTAACTGAGTAAGTCTCATCCCTCATAAAATAATTGACTAAATGTTTGATGTAATATTTTACGGTTTTCTTTGTCAGTGGTTTTTGCAATTTACCGTTAGCCATTAAACCGTCATCGAAATTGGATACCGCATTAAGGGATGCCATCTATAACACATTCAATGAACTTCCGTTGGCTAAACATGCTAGTGTTGTTCGTTGGTATGTGATGCTGGCATGTATTACTTCGTCTAACAAAACCTATAACAGTATATCGGAAATGTGTGTGAAGCTACTAATGGATATTTCAGAGGAAATCAACAGAAGATGGGATCCTTATGGTGCCCTCATCGGAACAAGGTTCGTTGGAATAAAACTATAGTTATACGAGATTTTACTTTGTTTTTTGCTTTAGATTTGGTTTGTATGGCTTTCCATTTGAGCCGGACATTTTTGATTATGATTTGCCGAATGTCAACAAAAATAACGTAAATTTTACGTCAACATTAATGAATATTATACGTAATAATGCCGGCCTTGTCCAGGCAGCAGGAATAGACATAAAAAAATTATGTTCAATAGGTATTTGTGTATAATTATTTAAACAGTAAAAATCATATATGATAATCATGTTTTTAATTACATTTTAAGATGGCGTTGATTTTAGAACTTTCCCACACTTGATCAAGTGTAAAAGTGTAAGTAATCAATTGCGTGGTCTACTGGAAGTCGAACAGCTTCATTTTACTTGTGCTGCAACCTCAGAATCAACCCGAATTGATAATATGGATACAGTTTCCGCAAACACTAGTTCCAGCAATGTTAATATGGATGATCTTTTAATTGCTCCAATGGTGGCAGAAGCAGTCGATCAAATATATTCGAAGTCTGACAAGGTAAGTACAATTATCTAATTAAATTCTGAAACAATTTCAATTTTTTCTAACACAATATAAGATGAATGATATCCTTAACAACGTTAAAAATAATGTCAATAATATTGTCGATAAGATCAAGTTAGAAAAGAAATTGGATGTCAACGAAAGCTTTGTTTTAAAGCCAAATGGAATAGGACGTAAGTATAAAACTATGAGTAAATATTGGCTAATGCTTTCATTAAAAAATAAATAAAAAATACATGTAGCTATTGATTCGGAGCAGTGTGTTGAAACGGGTATATCGAATAAAAGTGAAACCATGAATGAGGAGAAGGTTAAATTAAAGACATTGCCAAAGATTAAGTTTATTTGTGAGTACATAGATCAACAATTGGGAGGAACAGAAAAAACATCCAAAGATGGCAATGTAAACGAAAAAGGAAATAAAATACGTGTGCCTTCTGGAAGTACGGCTAATGGAGGAGTCTATGGCGAAAATGCTACCGCTAATGCTCCAAATATTTTCACATGGCACAAATTGTTATCCCCACCACCAAAACAAATGGTTGTCATTGATCGAATGCACTCGGGAGCGAGACGTTTTGTTGTACTTGACTTTGGCTCACCCATTCTATTAACAGATCTTATAATACCTGCATGTGACGAGTTGGCTTCTCTGCACATCGATATTTGGTGCTTTGATGAAGAGACAGACTGTGTTCGTTTGGTGGTAGCTCCCGATATCGGAACAAAGACTTTAGTTTTAAGTGATTTGTTGCCGCCACCAATTTGTCGTTATATGAAAATTACAATAATGGGTCGCGTCGGTATGTCATCAACAAAATGTAAAATTCCACTCGGTTCGTTTTTTGGACATATAGTAGTTTTGGAATCGGATGGCTATGGTGATATTCTTCTAGATTATGTGAATAGCCAGTCTCAGAATATTCCAGCTCAAATAAAGGCATTACAATCGTTGCACGAAGATGTTCATTGCCGTTATAGTCTCGCAAGCTGCAAGCTGTTGGAGCTGCTAACACCGCTCCTAAATGCAGACGTATCGAATGTAGCCCACATGCAGGCATTTATAAACAAACAACGTACTGAAGATGACACATCTTACAACTTGGAGAGCGGAAAAATTACATCTATATATGAGGTTTGTAATAAAATAGTTTTTATAGTAAAAATGGAACAGTGCGAAATCAGTACTCAGTTTTAATAAGTTTAATGTTTTGTTGAAATGTTTCATTAAATTTAAATTCAATTTCATTAAAACTAAAATTCAATAAATATATCTCTAAATTAAATGTTTTCTTAGGAATGCATAGTGCTTCAGCATGAAATTAATGTTATACGGAATGTTATTCTCAGACTAGAATCTTCCATCAAGGATAATAACTCATATACTCCAATGGATCCATCACAAGCATTACGCATGTCGTCACGGGACAAATTGCGAGTTCTTGGTCAGGCGTTGATAGAAATTCTATTAAACTTTTCCATAGAGTTCAGCTTTAAGGTATGTACAAACAAATATAATAAATTATTGAGAATAATTAAACGTTTAAACTAAAATGTTTTTAGGATATGTTAACTATGCAACAGCTATTCACAGCCGATGTGGCAAATATGCTATTCAATTCGTTTGTTGTATATGGAGATGCTCACATTCAATTGGCAACATGTTCTTTGCTAGTTCGCATGTGTTGCGTTCAAAATTGGTGGGGTGATTTTCTCACAAATATATTTTGTAACTTATTTTCTTCACAGAACAGCAAAATATTTCCACAGGATCGGTAATATACCATTTTTTATTATGGTTTCGTGTAAATGGATTAACAAATATGAGTTTTCTTTAGTATATTCTTCTTACTGACTTATTTGGGAAGACGAAGTATTTCTATGGGAAATTGTCGGTCTATAGTAATTGATTCTGTGTTGAAAACATTGGCCAAGCTTTTGGCTCCAATTTCTCCTCGATATCAAGAAGCCACAGGAGGAGGTTTTAATATGCCTGGCATTGAATCTGACACTAGCAACTTGTGTTCCAAATCCGATTTGCAACTAATAACATGGCTACTCTTATTCCTTTCAGTTTGTCTGGATGATCGCAAAGATAAATGTATAAATGTTTTTAGTTTTTAGTTTTTAGTTAAATTATTATGATAAAATATGTAATCTCTTCTTTTATAGCCGCTAATAGATGGGACTTTATGAGCTGTGAAACAGACTTTGCTAAAACTCGTGGTCAGTCTTCGAACAGTTCGGGAAAGCAATTGCGCTGTTTTAAAAAGAGAATTATCCAGCAAAATAAATACAGCGTACAACCATACACTGATTGGGGCAAGAAAATCTATATGATACAGAATGAAGTAAGTAAGAATGAATATTGAAAATTCTTGCCTTTAATATTTAACTTTGTTTTACTTTCTGTAGCATCCTGGTATTTTCATGGAACTTACTGGTAAACCAAAGTCTTCAAGCAAAACTAACAAAAATACTATATTACCAAAACTTCCAAAAGACGTTAATCAAGAACCTGAAAATAATTTCGATAAAGGTCTCAAGAACATTCGTCTTAATAATATCCTGATTGTCATACGTGGTCTAATTGCACTGCTTCTTGAAATGGATTTCACGTGCAATATGGACCAATTTTTGCTTACATGCAAAGTGAGTAGGATGTGGTGATGAAGTTCTATCATAAAATGTTCTTTTATTATATCCTAACTTATCGTTTCTTTTATTAAAAGGTAATTGCACGTCTCGTTTCCGCATGCAGACCTGCAGTTCAGCTTTCAAAGATCATAACCGTAAACCAATTAGAACACCTGATTCGTATGGCTGTGTGGAATGATCAACAGCAACCATGGGCTGTTCATGCTATTACTTGCTTACTACAGGTTAGTTAGTACCATATTCTATGTCTGGAAGCAAAATTCTTATTTTAGTTTTATATGTACTATTTATAAAGGACTTGTTGGATGCAGATAGGCATTTTAAAGATAACGATGCTACTCCTACAAATGATGGTATACGTCCATTGGACAGTATTCAGGAAACAAAAGATTTATTTGCAGCATATACATGTAAGTTGTAAATTATTAAATATATATATTTAGACAAATCTTACGTATCAGAGAAGTAAATAGGAACATTTGCGTAAAAAAAAACAAACAAATCTTTTTATTGAAATTTTATATTAACATATTTTATTTTCGTGTGTTAAGTAAACAATGTGGCCTCCGGTGGGTTAGTGGTTAGTGTTCTAGTCTGGTAGACCGGAGATGGTGGGTTCGATTCCCACCTGAGGCACTGGTTAAGGAGCGCACAACAGGCCCGATAGAGGCCTAGGTGTATTTCTTCGGATTTGATGTATATATGTACATCTTCCTTTCAAACTAACTAACTAACTAAGTAAACAATATAGTTTAAGTTCAGATGAGAAATAAGTAATTTATTTTTCTCGGCTACTATTAAATACGACATACTGGACGGGAATCTGCTAAAAAAATGAATTTGATGTGTTTAGTTTCATAAATATACATAATCATATTTATTTTACCAATAAATGTTGAAATTTTCATATTTTCCTTTAAACAAAATGTACTCACTCAAGATAAATCATAATAATGTTTACATTTAAAATTTTAGCGTTGTACATGCCACAATCTGGCTCTACACAAACATCAAGCAACGATATGCAATATTCGGATGGTAAGTACTCTACATTATTTAGTATGGTTGATAAAAAGCCTTTTGCTGAAATCATCTTCTAATAGTAAAGTTATGTTATTAAATTATCTCTATTAAAAGACTGTAAAATATTGTTCAATTATTAAGATTTTATAATTTTTTAAATTTGTATGATGAAATAGTAATCTATGCAAGCAAAAGACTTTTCTTCGCCCCATATATAACACAAATAATAATTCTGCATCAAATTTTATTGTCATGTGATTTTAGGAGTGAAATATCCATATTTGCCGTCATTAATTGAATGCGAAGATACTGAGTTCGATGAGATTTTAAACGACATTGATATTATTGAGCGAAACAAAGCAGTGCCAAAGAAAGATAACAACAACATGAATAAGAATACAGTTAACTACTTTTGTAAATCGATATCTAGTGCAATGGACTCACGTTTAGATATCGGTCTTGATTTAAATGTTGAAACGGACTTACGACGCATTACTATGGTCTCCTCTCTGGATATGTATTCATCATTGCCTCAAATTGCAGCCAGTGAATTCAAAACGGCCTCGCCAGAAGTTGCTGTTTGGCCAGACTATGTTACCGATATTTGGTCTGGTCCAGAATACAATTGTGGCGTAAATACGTACAACATGTTTAAAAGCGTCTTTGATTGCATACTTGCAGACTTGCATTTAGAAGTATGATTACGATTTACATAATTTATCATGTCGTACGTAATTCTAATTTATTTTTAGGAAACTTGGGTACATCTGGAACAAGTTTTGCAGATGTGGTTAACTCTAAATAGTGAGCTTGCTGATAAGTCATACAATTCTGGTGTCTCAAATAGCGAGGTTCCAAAAATACCATTTGGCGCAAATGCTATTCAAGGACTCCTATTGGCTTTGGCTTGGTATAACGATGTTAAACTTCGTACGTGGTGCTTGGGTTTTCAGTGTCTCCTCTTAGCGTGCAATTCTCAAACATTTTCTCATGAGGAGGAAGATCGTACTCGTATAAATGAAGTCATTATTAACGATGAGAACTTTGAAAAAATGTTGCTAAGATTTTTCTCCGGCTATGGCATGAGCTCAGTTATTATCACTAACCGATGTGTAATTATTTATGATATACATGAATTTTAATTGTGTTATAATAAAAATATTTGTTGATTTTGATTTGTCTAGGCTGGACCTACAATATGTAAACATTTGCATGAACTTTTACATTGGCTACATCGAAAAGGCGAGTCTGCTGATGGTGTCATATCCTGCAAACGAAAACTTAAAGATACTCTTCTACACGTGATTCTCCAACTAGTTCAACCTGGCGGAGCAATAAGCAATCAATTGGGTCCAATAGATGCTCAAAGCCAATTAGTTCGTGACTTATTAATAATGCCTAATGATAAGGCGGATCTAAATATTTCATTGAATATTATAGAGTGTGTTTGTGAGTATAAATTGATAATAAACTAAACATAAAAATCACTAACTCTACATCTGCATCTTTCTAGCATTTTTGGTCTTTAATAATATTTCTAATGGCGATAAAATCCAGTGTCAACGAACATCCGATACCAACAATGCCAGTAATTCATTTAGTAGTTTGTTTGCCAATGTTTTAGGATCCGACCACTCTAAGCAAAATTGTCCGATATCTGATAATTCTCTTATTATAAGCCTGCTTAAACTTTGCTCATCTTTGATACAAACAGAACTGCCACGACAACTGACAGTAAGAATCATTTTTATTTAATTTATAACTAAATTTACTATTTCCAAGCAGAAGTATGTACATATGTAACTAAATAGTTAATTGCGTGTTCTATATTAAAATTTTAGGATGTCGCCATTCCTGAAGAGGAAGAACTTACCAACATTTGCCAAACTGATGAAACTAAAGCTGAACAATTAAATATTGACGGCCATCGTGTTAAAACGCCATGTATAGCCGATACAGGTAATCTGTTTAATATAAATTTTTGCGATTTAAGCTTAAAACAAATATTTTATAATTTTTTCCAGTTCTGCGACATTTTCCAACTATGAAACGTTTATTAGGTTCTTTGTCTCACTGTTCAAGCACATCATTTACCTTAATGGTTTCATCTGCTTTATACAGTGTTAAACCAGCTGATTCAACATTTTTGCTCGATGAACCACAAACTACGGCTGATGCAGTTTTTAACATGCTTATAACTTTGTGTGAAAAAGCGTCAAATTCCCGTTTAATTGTAGCTCCCATATGTCAATACTTGGAAGCGTGTATGTATATTGAATATTTCCTTAAATATGTATACCATTATTTAAAACTAAAGTTTAGATTAAATTACATCAAAATTAAAGATCTATCAAGCATTATAATATGCATAGGCTCAGTGAACGCATTATTATTTAAAATTACATATGTTTGTCTTTTTAGGTACATCTCAGCGTATATCACTACCACGTTTGCATTTGTCTGAACCATTGTTGTGGTACATATCTAAAGTCCTTGAAGTTTCATCGGCTGTACAAATATTTACGCAGTTAGGAGGTATTGAAATAATATGCAAAAATTTGGTGAGACTGAACAAAATTCTAATAAATGTTCAGCCCGGTTTGGTAAGTAATTAACAAATTGCGTTTTACTTTAATGTAAAATTTGCACTCTTTATGTTTTATAGATTTCTATGATAATGCAGCATATGACAAGAAATACGAAAGTTAAGTTGGTTTCGCAGTCGTGTTCGAATGGAAATGGAAAGAAATCATCGAGTTCAAGTCAAAATCATCGGTTCTTGCAAGATGGTTTAATCAATTTTGCCCCATTCTGCACAATTTCTGCCGAAAATGATACTGCTCAATCGGCAGATATTCTTATTATGAATCCCGTGGCATCACATCGACGACCACGTACACCTGCCTGGAGCTACATGTTTTATCCGAATGAATCACATGCAGATCTTACAATAACTTTACCTACGGCTATTTTGTTACGCGAGGTACAACTTCAACCTCATGCTCCTACACTGGCTTCATGTCCTTCTGCTGTAGCTTTAGAAATTTCAAGAGATTTTGGGCTAGGACCGGTGCCTGTCGGGCCTCCTTTGACAACAACTGGAATGACTTGTATTCGCTTAAAGTTATCGAAACCAGAGATAGCTACTAGTATTGTCCTGAGACTATATAGGTATGATTAAATAATCTCTATATATATATACATAAAACATATATTTAAAAAATCGTTTGTTAATCAATACCTTATCATAACTAATTATCGATAAATGTTGTTATTTATTAAAGGCCCAAAGATAGTACCAGCATTGGCTTAACACAAATTGCAGTCTTGGGCAATACCATATTTGCATCACAAACAAATAACTCGAGTATTGCTAGCGGTTCAAATTGTAATAGTTCAGCATTGGCTATTGATCATGCCATAGATGACGATTCATTTGCCAAGACGAGTGTAGGATGGGTTCGTATTTTATCACGGTGCTATAGTGCAGCATCTATGGTGCCTAGTGAATCTAAATTGGCGGCTGATGTTATTGGAGCATCTGCTGCTTATCCCGGATTTTTAGATGCTTGTTGCTCGTTGATGAATATTATGCCAATGATTCCAAATGCAGCGGTACAAAATCTTGAATGTGTATTACTAAAATTAGGAGCATATAGTCGGGAACTTTGTCTTTCGCTAATACGGACTTTATTATGGGGAACTACTCCACAAAGTAAGTTTTAATAATGTGTAAATCTTTTTTAAATTTATTTCATTTGCTTACGACATTACGGCATTAATTTTGCCTTTTCAGTATATAAACTTTCCAATGAGAGCATTTGCGACTTGTTGTATGAACTGTGTACCAACAAAGATGAATATGTGGTAGATAAAATTCTGGTTCTCTTAGAATGGATTGAAAAATTAAAAATGAACTACAGTAGTAATAACAGTGGGCGGTGTAATAATCCTCAGAGCGGTTTCGTAAAGTGTATTGCTTCTATTCTTTGGTATATTTATGCAGAGAATTATGTCGCTAATTTTGGTGAACACATTTCTCAAAATGTATTCGATGCTTGCATGCATTGGATTGATAGACTGGACCACGAAGAGCCATTGAAAATAGCATTCGATTCATTACTATGTTCACTTTGCTATATTCAACCCAAATTTTTCACTCATCTGTTGACAAGGCTTAATGTCACCTTAGCGCATTCCGACCCCGATTTAGACATGTCGGGAGACAGAAATGATGAATGCGGCTTGACAGATGACAACAAAGAGGTCAGCGGAAGAGTTTGGTATGCAAATGTGGCTGCAGATAACTTGACAACATTATTTGGACGTCCCTCATATTTAGCAACCATTGCAATGGCATGTCAATCCCCAAATGCCATATTTCTATTAGTTGATTCTGGTCTCCCCAAACTATTAGCATATGCCTTATATGAGTATTGTTCTTCTCTGCTCACGGAAGAAAGTGTGCACCAAACATTGAAATACGACCAAATGCAATTTGCGACACAGCGCACTTCGTCGAATCCTACACCATCCTCTTCTTGTATGACTGATGCAGACAAAGTTGCTGGGGATCAAATGGATGTTACGCAAACAGATAGTGACATGGAATCAAATAGGTCTCAACTGATGACATTTGATCTAGTATCAAAAATACTTGATTTCTTTTCTGAGTGCTGTTCGGAGGGACATATGCGTGACTGGTTGGGTACTCAACAAGGCTCTATATTTTGGAAACCGTTGTTAAAACTTCTTTGTAATCACCGACCTATAAATTTCGTTCCGACTACGCCAATAATTAGTAGAGAGCCAACGCAACAAGCATTTATACGTGTAGAACGTGCTACAATAAATTTCTTTGCGAGAGTCACCGCCTGTCATCCCAATAATCAAAATATATTAACAATGCTATTAATTGAAGTAATAAGAGAACCATCCGTATCGCTAGGACTTAATGTTATGGAGACCAGTTCAAAACAAACAATTTCTGGATTTACTCGTCAACTCGTTCTGCAGTTGTTGCTAGAAAATGAGCGCATTCTGATTTCTGTACGAAGCAAACAACCACTACAGAAAAAAGATCCATTCACACCGTTTTTACCAATGTCTGCCAATATCCCATCCACGACATTACCCAATAATTTTACTTCACCGAGCAGCGTTTCAATGTCATTGGTTAATCACCATCCAGCAAAACGTATTAGCAATCATCATTTGCTTTTCTCTGTTAGCGCGAATACGAAATGCCAAGAAATTATTCAGAATTGCCTATCGGGTAAGTTGTTGCTATTTTTCATAATTTTTGCTTAGAGGTCGGAAACAAGATTATTTCTTACTATTCCGTTGGAAACCGGTCTTCAGAACAAACTCTATACTATACAAACTATATAAGTCACCATTAATTCTATGTACGCTAAGCGAGATATTGGGGATCAAAGGTTACAAAAATCAGTTTTTTTACAAATATCTAGCTTATTGTGATTCCTACGCATTCAAATGATACTGTACTTCTGTAGACAATTAAATTTTCAATATTAGTTGAAGACTAAATTCGCTCATCATTAATTGTTTTCAACTTATAGTGCATTCATTTTCAATTGCACCGATATTTTCAAATTTTAATATATTTTGAAACGATAACAAATGTAATAGCATCAAAACACGTACGACGCTTAATAACACTAGACAACACTGAAAATGCCTTTTAAATAAAAATATCTGATTTCTATGTACTTCCACCCGCTGGAAAAAAATGTTATGAAAATTTCAGGTTAGCTCTAGTTTCCGAGATATTGTGGTTTTTATAAAAACGTTATTTAAGGCATTTTTAGTAATTTTTACTTAATTTCTCAGAATCGGGCCAATATTCATAGAGTTGTTTAATAACATCAGTATGATCATACTGACAGTAATTTTAGAATACCTTGGATGTCCTGCAGAGAGACTTGAAAATTGTACCTTTTTGTTTTATCCTTGTAACTTTAAATTAAGGTAAATGAGTTTGAATTCTTTTTACAATATAGTACCAACAAATAACATTTTTAAATAACAATTAAAAATTCGTTAAAAATTTAGTGAAATATTTTGAAATATATTCGTGATTTTTGGTTAATGTATTTTCTTTTACTTTTAACAATATTTGTTCTTCTTACATTATGATATTAAAAACATACATAAATATACAAATATCATCAGTCTTCGACAGGCAATCGCCGTGCTAACTTCGTGTTTTTCTTAGCGGTTATTCTGTTTTGGATTTTTCTACTGAGATATTCAGTTTGCCATTTTGATTTTGATCGATTTTTCAATTTAAGTTAAATTAAAATAAAAGACTTTTAATTTGGAAAGGTTGATAAGGAGTTTTTCAGGATGAACGGGACTGACACTCCCAATCATAACAGGTTCCCACAAGAAAAATAAGAGATTAAGAGTTGATGATTTTGTACCGTTACCCGAAGTTGTAAGAAATGAAGACCACATACCTCGATACTTAGTAGCTTCAACAATCCCAGCTACAAATGCCTCTGAAACTAAGCCACTTTCCTCGTATAATGTATTCCAAATAGAAAAAGGACTAAACTTTATTTCTAGAGACTACGTTGATATAACAGAAATGCGGAGTGGTGATCTGTTAATCAAAGCATCCCATATGAAATCAGCGCAGAAATTTCAATGTTCCGGTGAAGATAGAAATGCATAAAACCCTCAACTCTATTCAAGGCAGATTTTTCTCCAGAAAAATTATTGTATCCCATTTTATACGTTCTAACTTAATCCGGGCTCTACATGCTTAATTTCATATTTCTACACTGAAAATAATCCATGCTTAACTTTACGAAAAAAAATTTCGTAACTACTTTTTTCGTAATATATACGAAAATTTCGTGTATAATACGAAATATTGTTTAATCAACCCCTTTTCTAATTTTACGAAAGAACGAAAACCTGTTGTAATATCTTTTTTAGTATATATTAAGAAACTTTGTTTCTTTTACAAAAATAATTTCGTTAAGACATGTAATATTTAACGAAAGTAACGAATTTTTTTCGTAACAAAATTAATTAGTAATATACAAGAATTATTTTTGATTTCACAAAAAAAAATTATTTTGTTACGATTTTTTTTTGTTTTTTTCGTAATGTTAAGCGAGTTAAATTAAACGTAATTTTAAATTTACGTTTTTTTTAAACATAAAAATTTGTTTTTTTTTAATTCGCAATCTTTTTCTAAATTTACAATAATTATTTTAAAAGAACTAACATATTTATGTCTTTAAAAAATCGTAAAATGAAAAAAAAAATTTTTTTTCTAAAATTATATAAAATTATTTTGCATTTTACTAAAATATTTCGTACAATTTCGTATATATTACGAAAGTATTTCGTGGTGCGAAACCACGAATCATTTCGTACAATGTACAACATTTTTCGTGTATATTAGGCATGGATTATTTTCAGTGTAGGTTCAATATTAGAGAAATTGCAAAAGGTACCTTTTGTAAAACGAAAAAGTACCAAAAAGTCCCCTTTTATAGGTTCTTACCTAGTCAAGGCCCTACATGCTAAATTTCATGTTTCTAGGTTCAATATTATAGAAAATTCAAAAAGTACCTTTTGTAGAACGAAAAAGTACCAAAAAGTCCCCTTTTATTTGTTCTGGCCTAATCCGGGCTCAACATACTTAATTTCATGTTTCTAGGTTCAATATTATAGAAAATTCAAAAAGTATTCAATATTATAGAAGATTCAAAAAGTACCTTTTGTAGAACGAAAAAGTACCAAAAATGCCCCTTTTATGTGTTCTGGCCTAATCCGGGCTCTACATACTTAAATTCATGTTTCTAGGTTCAATATTATAGAAAATTCAAAAAGTACCTTTTGTAGAACGAAAAAGTACCAAAAAGTCCCTTTTAATAGGTTCTTACCTAGTCAAGGCAATACATGCTAAATTTCATGTTTCTAGGTTCAATATTATAGAAAATTCAAAAAGTACCTTTTGTAGAACGAAAAAGTACCAAAAAGTCCACTTTTATGTGTTCTGCCTAATCCGGGCTCTACATACATAATTTCATGTTTCTAGGTTCAATATTATAGAAAATTCAAAAAGTACCTTTTGTAGGATGAAAAAGTACCAAAAAGTCCACTTTTATGTGTTCTGGCCTAACCTGGGCTCTACATACTTAATTTCATGTTTCTAGGTTCAATATTATAGAAAATTCAAAAAGTACCTTTTGTAGAACGAAAAAGTACCAAAAAGTCCCCTTTTATGTGTTCTGGCCTAATCTACATATTTAATATCATGTTTCTACACTGAAAATAATCCATGATTCGTGGTTTCGCACCACGAAATTCTTTCGTAATATATACGAAATTGTATGAAATATTTTAGTAAAATGCAAAATAATTTTATATAATTTTAGAAAAAAAATTTTCATTTTACGATTTTTTTAAAGACATAAATATGTTAGTTCTTTTAAAATAATTATTGTAAATTTAAAAAAGATTGCGAATTAAAAAAAAAAAAACAAAATTTTACAGGAAATTAGGCAGCTATTTTCCTGTAAATTTAAAATTACGTTTAATTTAACTCGCTTAAAATTAATATTTTTTTTGTGAAATTAAAAATAATTCTTGAATATTACTAATTAATTTTGTTACGAAAAAAATTCGTTACTTTCGTTAAATATTACATGTCTTAACGAAATTATTTTTGTAAAAGAAAACAAAGTTTCTTAATATATACGGAAAAAGATATTACGACAGGTTTTCGTATATATTACGAAAAAAGTAGTTACGAAATTTTTTTCGTAAAGTCAAGCATGGATTATTTTCAGTGTAGGTTCAATATTATAGAAAATTCAAAGAGTACCTTTTATAGAACGAAAAAGTACCAAAAATCCCCTTTTATAGGTTCTTACCTACTCAAAGCCCTACATGCTAAATTTCATGTTTCTACACTGAAAATAATCCATGCCTAATATACACGAAAAATGTTGTACATTGTACGAAATGATTCGTGGTTTCGCACCACGAAATTCTTTCGTAATATATACGAAATTGTACGAAATATTTTAGTAAAATGCAAAATAATTTTATATAATTTTAGAAAAAAAATTTGTTCATTTTACGATTTTTTTTAAAGACATAAATATTTTAGTTCTTTTAAAATAATTATTGTAAATTTAGAAAAAGATTGCGAATTAAAAAAAACAATTTTTTATGTTTTTTAAAAAAACATAAAAAATTTTACAGGAAATTAGGCAGCTAATTTCCTGTAAATTAAAAATTACTTTTAATTTAACTCCCTTAAAATTACGAAAATAACAAAAAAAAAAAAAAAATCGTAACAAAATAATTTTTTGTGAAATCAAAAATAATTCTTGTATATTACTAAATAATCTTGTTACGAAAAAAATTCGTTACTTTCGTTAAATATTACATGCCTTAACGAAATTATTTTTGTAAAAGAAAATAAAGTTTCTTAATATATACGAAAAAAGATATTACGACAGGTTTTCGTACTTTCGTAAAATTAGAAAAGGAGTTGATTAAACAATATTTCGTATTATACACGAAATTTTCGTATATATTACGAAAAAAGTATTTACGAAATTTTTTTGGCAAAGTTAAGCATGGATTATTTTCAGTGTAGGTTCAATATTATAGAAAATTCAAAAAGTACCTTTTGTAGAACGAAAAAGTACCAAAAAGTCCCCTTTTATGTGTTCTGGCCTAATCCGGGCTCTACATATTTAATACCATGTTTTTAGGTTCAATATTATAGAAAATTCAAAGAGTACCTTTTGTAGAACGAAAAAGTACCAAAAAATCCCTTTTTATAGGTTCTTACTTAGTCAAGGTCCTACATGCTAAATTTCATGTTTCTAGGTTCAATATTATAGAGAATTCAAAAAGTACCTTTTGTATAACGAAAAAGTACCAAAAAGTCCCCTTTTATAGGTTCTTACCTATTCAAGGCACTACATGCTAAATTTCATATTTCTAGGTTCAATATTATAGAAAATTCAAAAAGTACCTTTTGTAGAACGAAAAAGTACCAAAAAGTTCCATTAAATGTGTTCTCGCCTAATCCAGGCTCTACATATTTAATTTCATGTTTCTAGCCAATAACAACGTAACGTGATGTTCATTCTTTGCTTTGTGTTTATAAACAAGAATTACAATAACAAAAAAAATTTACCGTTTGATACTGTGTTTTGTTTTTGTTTGTTTATTGTTTTGTATAAGCATGCACGAAAAAAGTAAATTTTTGAT